GCGGTCCCTGCCGGGTAGAGCCTCCGGGACAGAAGCGGCGCTGCCCCTGCCAGCCGCTCACCAAGCAGCCTTCGGGCGCCACTTAGGTGCCCCTGGCGCTCCCATCCGGACTTACTCTGGAGTAAGCATCATGGGTAAGCACCTGCTCCTGAGTAAGCCTGGTTGTGGAGTGGGAAGCAACTGGAAAGCATTCATAGCCAGGGGAGTGAAATCACCAGCCAATATTGCCACACCCCCAGCAGCACAGCAATATCCAACGGGGGAGGGGAGGGAAGTGTAACTCTCGGTCTTGGGGGGCCATGGCTGGCCGCAGCTGAGGTTGCCCCTTTGCTTCCACCCTGTTACCCACCAGGAGACAACTGGCCAGATTCATACGCAGCTCCCCTTGGAAGGACCCTAAACCAAAACCGAACAAGCTACCCGGGCTTAGTAGAAAGAGTGAGCGGCTTTAATCTCTGGTGTCACCTTTGCAGACTGTCGCGTTCTATTAAAAGGAAGGAATTTTTGTGAAGTGCGGCTCCACTTCACGAAAGGCAATGCCTTTTAATAAAATATTTTAGCCTGGAAAGGTTAGAAAGGGGAAAGCAGTCTGTATGCGCTCTGCCGCCCCGGCCTGCTTGTAAAACAGGTTCTGGGGCCAAACCGCGGAGCCTTCCAGCTCAGACTAGGAGGGAGAACTCTTCTTCCAGGGTGGGGCTCATCAGGTTAGATTTCAAACTCCACCTGGGAGCCTGGAGGGCAGGTAGACACAATATTTGAAAGCCTGCAGGGAGGCCCAGGGATTTACCGCCTCGGGCCCCCGTTTTCCCCAGCAACCAAGACCTGCCCCCTCCTTCCTTCTCAAATAATTGGAGGGGGGGTGTTTTCATACGGAGTCCAGGGAGGGAAGGAGCAGTTATCTTGGAACAATCTAATTATTAAAACACATTCCAGGGAAAAAAACTCACTTTAAACCACCTTTTCTACACCCGCAAGGAAATGGACTAACACTTCAGAAACTCAACTCCCGCCTGGCTGCTCCCAGTAATAACTAGAAGAGGAGCCATAAATGAGTTTGTCCGCCTTATAAAAAAAACAAATAATTTGTTCAGAGTTGTCCCCTCCCATTTTCACTCTCTTGCTTTTCCAGAATTTACATTTTGTTGCTAGGAAGGTGCAACGTCTGTTAACCGCAACGGTAGTGTGTACACACAAACACAGCAGCCACACCAGTTAAGAGCTTATTTTTAAACTCAAGGCCAGAAGAGTTGCGGTAGCCTTTCAAAGCCCACAGCTTCTCTACTACAGACTTCTTCTAGGTATCTGCTCAAGATATTTGAAAATTACAGACATCTTTTTCAGTGCAAACTTTTAAAAAAGGCTGGTTTTCAAGATCCCAGAACCAAACTCTCAACACCACATACCTAAACGTGGTTCCATCAAGTCTTTCCCACAAAGGCCAACCCGAGGGTCCTCAGCTGCTTTTACTAAGAGTTTTTCTTAAGTGAGGAGGAGGAGGAGGATGTTAATAAGCAAAGTCCTCCTATGGATTAGCGGGAGAGGTGGAAAATGGGGGCGTAATCACAACGTTAAAGAAACAGGCAAGTGATGTCGGCTGCCTGGGAGGAGGGGAAGTAGGAACACTCGGCCTTTGTCCTTAATTATCCTGGGAGCCCCTCCGTCAGCTGGTATAGAGGCAAAATTGGGTGGTCCATGGAGGACTCACCCCCCCCCGCCCAGTTCTTTGCCTCTGTTCCTGGTAGCAATGGGACCCCCCGCAATTGTTGCGCTACAAAAGCATTGCTCCCAGACAAAAAAGGCTTCTAGGATAGAGAAAGCTTGAGTAATTTATCTATTTCTTTAATTTATTAAATGCATTGGCTATCCATAACTCTGGGTGGCTTACAATATTAAATGTTGCATATTGCACACGTAGAATGTATTTAGATGTTTTAATGTTGCCATCCTCTTTTGTATTTTACAGGAGGGGGGGGTTGGATGTTGTTGTCAGCAGCTTGGAGTCTTAGATTGGCAGAAAACTGAGAACTGCAATAATTGAATGACCTGTTAGTGCCATGTTTTCTAAAAATGCACAAGAGGAAAACATCTTTTGCGGTCTGTGTTTATTCTGCCTTTAACCACAGCACTGGAGGGGAAAGGAATGCTTTGATGTTTTTATCAGCATCTGGAGAAAGAGGATGCTTAGGCTTTTTGACAATTAAAACAAGCAGCAAGTGCCACATGTAGGCCTGGGTCTCCAAGGTGGTATCACAGCAAATCCACTAAGGGATTATTTTTAGCCCAGACTTTGATGTGTTCTGCTGGCCTCACACAGTCTTCCAAGCTAGATCTGTCTGTCTGTCTCTCACACACATCCCGCCCCCCAGCTGAGTGCCGCCGCCCCTTTTTGCTTCACTGCTGGTTGAAATCAGACCGCCCCCCTCTTCCATTCAGCCTGAAGGCATCAGACCCTTTTTCTGCCTCTGAGGCCGAGCCAGGAGCAGCCACTGCCACCACCGCCCTCCCTTCCCTATTCCAGGCAGTCCAAGGGAGGCTTTTTCCATAGGGGCTGAAAAAGCTTCTTCCTTCTGGCATCAGTAGTTGTGGAGAGGGAAGTTTGGCAACGGATCAAATCCACCTGGAGAGGCCTGAAGCTGGGCCATGCAGGACAGTGGGGGGGGGGACGCTTTCCTGGTCAGTGATAGCCCCCCCTCACAAACTGCACTTGGCGGAGTAGAAGGAATCTTTGAGCTGGGGTCACTTGTATGGGGGAGGGTGTGATCCAGCAATGCCGATTGTGAAGGCCAAAGATGTCCATTGCCCTTTAGATCTGCAGATTGTTCCCTTTGAAGCAATTTCATCCCCAGCCCCAATTCAATCTCCAGGCTCTGCATTAATGGTTTAGTAAAAACAAACAAACCCACTTTCGTCCAATTAAATTAACATGCATTAGCTCAGAGTCATCGGCCTCATGGTGATCTTTAAATAGTGGAGAAACTAAGGTGTCCAGCCAGGCTGTGGAAAGTAGAGCCAGCAATTCCTGGTGGTGACCAGTTAAGGGGAGGGAGCAGCTGCTGCTTGAGGAGCAGAGATGTTCCCAGGATGGTCTGTTAAAGTCAGCAGGTGGGTTGTGGGCCTCACTGCCTTACCTCAGAGTAAGTGTAGAAATGGCTGAGTTCCCTGGGTAAGAATGAGTTCGAGTAATGTGTGTTCTCCTTCCTTGTAAGGTGTTCTGGGAAGCCAGCCAATTGCAGTTTATTAAATAAATTATGGTTAAAGGAATAATGGCTTGATACGTCTGAATAAATTCCCCCAATCTCTCTCAGAAGACCTATAATGCACTATTGCTAGTTTTCTCCTCCGGCAGGCAGCCATCCTGCTCCTACCCCAGCCGCTCAAGGCTTCTGCTATAGACCAGGCTTGGAAGTATCCTGTAGGCCAAGTCAGAGCGACGACCCCTTGGCTGCAGGACGCTCACTTCTCACACTGCCAGGGCCTCTTGTTATGAGCCAAATCCCGTGGCCAGAAGAGTGTGTGTGTGTGTGTGTGAGAGAGAGAGATGGGGATTACCCGGAGCAGCTCTTTCCTCCTTTGTGTGAATTGGGTCAACCTAACCTAGTCCAGCCTACCTTCCCCTAGTGAGGCAGCCTTGTCTCCTGGCCTATTGTTTGCCCAGCTGAGGTATTCTTTCCCTGCCCCATCATTGTTTACCGTAGCCAAATATCCTTATCTCCTCCTCCTCTTGATAGTATTGCTGTAGCAACCAAGGGGCACTCCCTTGCGAGGCCATTTCCTTTTTTGTTTTTGCTCCTCTCGCTGTTAACCTGAGATGGCAAGACACAGATTTGCCCCATAAGCAACACCCCCCCCCAACCACCTGCCCCAGATAGCACCCTATAATGTACGCAAAGGCAGAAGTTCCACCCTGCACACACGTGTGGCAGTCAGACTTCATTTTAAGCTTCATCAGTGGCATTTAAAAGATGATAAGAGCACTTCTAACAAGTTCTCTTAAAATATGAGAACTTAGTCTTCCCAGCACTGTTCAGGAATACTGCATTCTGAATGTCCTTGAATAGGGCTTGCAACCTTCAAGATACCTACACACCCAGCTGGGAAAGACCATGCAACGCGTACATTTGCCACTTGCGGAACGTTGTTCAGAATCAACGTTTCCTTTTCCTCAAGTTTCACGTGTAATCGACGTCTTTTATGCTTCCATCACTTGCTGAGCATCACACATATATACCAAACAGACACGGCATTTGTTTCTGTGCCTACGAACAGACCAATCCCGCCTTTAAAAATGCCGCTTGCTTTGCTTGGATTATTTGAAGATCCGTGCAGTATTTTCCGGTGGGCAAAGCAGCCTCTTTCTGCTCCCCGCCAATCTCGGGTTGGAGGCAACGGCTGGAAGGGAAGCCGGAGATTCCGCTCGCCAGCTTATTGCGCGGGCGAATGGTTGCCAATAAGCCGGGAAAGTAGTTTCTTCCCCAAACCCCAAAAACTTTAACCTTAGACTGTCTACTATTGACCTCACCCCTTTCCTAAGAGGTCTCTAGGGGGCGTGCATAAGCGCACCAATGTGCCTACCGTCCCTGTCCTATTGTTTCTTTTATTTTTCTTTTATTTTTCTTATATGTACCCATTTCATGTATTCATGACTCTGTATACACTTATACTTATTATCTTGTAAACAATTGGCAAATCAAATAAATCAAAAGTAGCCCATCTGTGCAATGAACTGCCCCGAACTAGATTCCCAGAAATACACACGAGCGCGCCTTCACAAAAGCAGCCTCATTCTGAAGCCACGCCTGCGCAGTAGACCTCCCCGCGCCGAGGCCCTGCCAGGGCCGATTTTCTTGCCACACTAAAAATGGCGCTCCGCTCCCTCCCGTCCCCCCTCCCTCCACTCCTCAAATGGCCGCATTAGCAAATAGAAAAACTCTTTTGTCCCCTTCCTATTGGGGGAGGCGCTCAAACGGCGGCCAATCAGGACTTTAGGCGCGCTAGTTGGCTGGTGGGAGGCGCCGCTCTGGGAGAATGGCCGGTCGAGCACTTTCCGCCCTTCTGGGTAGGGGGGGGTGGGTGAACAAGCGCTCTGTACATGCCCAGAGACTCTCCCGATAGCCTTGGGCTGCCCCGAGGGTGGGAATTGCACTCTGCATATGCTCAAGGGGCCAGCATCGCTGTGAGGGTTATGAAATAGGGAGGGAACTGCTGCTCTCTGGGCGTCTCCAGGCAGGGCTCCCTCAATTGGAGACACAAAAGAAGAAGCGGGGGGGGGAGAGAATCCTCACGGAGCCTCTCTGTGTCCTCAGCGGGAAGATGCCAGGAGCAAAAGCGGGAACCCCAAACCCAGCAGGAGCTGCGGGAAGCGGCCCTGCACATCTGGAGTCGGCACCAGAGGCTGGACGAGCTCTTGCTGGAGGTGAGCAGCAGCGCCCGGCGCGCTTTCTCCCTCTCCCGGGGTTCCCCAGCCAGCCGTGTGGATTGGCAGCTCCGGGAGTGGAAGCCCCGCGTCTGAAACAGGGGCCTCCAAGCGTGGCAACTTTCAAGACTTGTGAGCTTCCCCTCCCAGAGTTCCTCAGCCAGCAAAGCTTTAAGGTCCACAAGCCTCAAAGTGGCCAAGGTGGGAGACCCCGGTCCAAGGGGCTCTGAGACTGAGATGGGCTTGTTCATGGTTAAAAAAGTGGGGTGGGGGCAGTAACTGGCCATCATTTGAAGCGTTTTAGCAGCGGTGGTATTTGAAACTGTAAAACAGTTAAAAATACAACGCTGCAGGGTTTGGATAATAATGTAGCCAAGACAATATTGGGTTACATTTCAGTAGTGCTTACTGCTCTTTTTAGGATGGTAACCTTGATTTCATAGTGGATTAATAGTGCTTTGTGATTTTTAAATGATTATTCTGCTGAAAAGGTCCTTTGGCAAGGAAGAAATCTAGATTGACCACCAGATATTTTAGCCATCTTTAGCTTTCGTGGTGATCTTATTTATTAAGCTGCAGAATGTTAATATACATGGCTGCACATTTTTAAAAATGTCTATTTTCTGTCTTATGAGATATCGCCCTGTTCCTTTTAAGCATACTGGGAGGCTATCTCCATTTCAGAGAATGCTGGGTTCCTCGAGGGACTGTGACATATTTGATGAGTTACTAATGTCTCGTGTTGTGTCTGGAAAAGGCCATTAAAGACCAAAGGATTTGATATTCCCTACAGTCAAGACAATTGCCCTTTTCTCTTTCTTTTAACAGAATGGAAGTTCAGAACGTGGCAAGTCCATACTTTCCAGTAACTTGGGCAGTGGTGCAAGTAAAATGTCAATTCCAGAACAATTTATAGGTGGGTGAAATAGAATTTATTTTGCTGGAGAGAGTGACTAAATATTCAGTAAAATAAGAATATTGAGACTGTCTGATTCAGGATTGTCAGTAGTTATTGGCAGGCGTAGCTTTCCGCGATTTACCGTTCCTTGCCTGTGACTGAGCCTTTTCCATGTGTTTACCAACAATTGGGTTTTTCTTCGTTACCTTTTCAGCCCCATCATGTTGTGCTATTTCCAATTGCAATTTGGGGTGGTATATTTAAGGTCCGGATGGCGTTTCTTCTCTTCTGTTGTAGTCACAGCCTTGAAGGATGAGGCCTCAGTGCTGGGCATGCCAGCAGGAATCTTATCAGCCAGAATGGCAGCCAACCTCATTGAGAAGATCTCTATGGAATCTGATCAGACTACACTACTGAATGCGGAACACAGAGTAAGGAGAGAGATGCCTCTTTCTTGTAGGGCAGGAAGCATGTTCAAGTTGCTCAGGCCTTGCTAAAGAGGAAATGGTTCGTGGTCCTGAAACACCCACAGGGAATTCTGAGAATTGCAGGCTAGTAGAAGAAGGTTGATTTATATGATGAAAATAGTTCTACAGAAAGGCAACCTAAAAAGTATTTTAAGTACCTGTTTTAAAAGGGTAGTTAATTTTCCAAAATAGCATTGTCATTCAGGATTTGAAGAATATACAAAAAATTGGCTCATTAGTTGTTCAAAAATAATGCCACTCCATTGTATTTTATTTTTTCTATTTGCAGAAGAAGTTGTTTTGTTTGTCCCAGTCCTTGAAGGAATTATTAACTTATAATGCTTTCTGTCATTCTGTTTTTGCTCAAGAGATGTGGAAAATGCAGGTAAGGTCCTTAGAGCTGAGGGGGAGATGGAAGCAGTGAATCTGCATGCTTAAATGACTGCCCTAAGGCCATTCTGGGGGCCTTACAGTTTGAGTTGCTCTCCTCTTGAGGAGGAGGAAGAGGAGGAGGGAGGGAGTGTTCCCCCATGGATGGAGAGGGAAAGGCCGCCTTAGAAACCTGCTCCTAGTTTCAGAGTCAGTTACTTGGGTGGTTGTTGGGCTGCTGGCATCTCTCCATTCCAAATGACCTGACCGTAGCGCTATTTCCCCCCAGCGCCCCCCTGTTTTGGAAGTCGCATGGCACTTGCACAGAGAGAACATTGTTCGTCTGGAAGGATTACTGGAGAAGTAGGTAGAGCGTGAACGGTTTGCCTGTGGCTTTGGCTCTGTCGGCATTTAGACTTGTTTGTGGAAGCCCGGATCCTCCCCTTGAGGAGAGATGCGCACTGAGCAAGATTGGTGTTGGTTTGTGGGGAACAGCTGCCAGTTGGTTTAGATGAGCTTCCACATCCTGGTGCAGACCATAGCTGCATTTACAGGCCACCCTAAGCCAAGTGGAGGCCTGATGCAAAGTAACTTTCTCTGTTCTGAAGTTAACATTTCAAACTTGGGAGTAAGCATGTTGTCCTTTTAGTGCAGGGGTCTCCAAATTTGGCAACTTTAAGACCTGTGGACTTCAACTGCCAGAACTGAAGATGTGTGCTGGCTGAGGCTTTCTGGGAGCTGAAGTCCACAGGTTGGAGACTCCTGTTTTAGAGGACTGTTTGGAGGGGAGAAACTATCTTTGTAAAAGGTCAATGATGCAGGCTCCTCTCTCTTCTCAGGAATCCGGAGGTACCTGCAGTTGTGGATTGGTTGTCCAGTAGCCTTTGCCTCCTGTGTCACCAGGTGGAAGAAATGGACACTGAGGTTGGCCAGAACATTCTCACAGGCAAGGCAGGGCCAAAGCCTGGGATGTGGGGGCTGGTGGCTAGGAAAAGGTCCAGGCCTGTGAATTCTTGGCTCTGGCCCCGCTCTCTCTGTCCCCTCGAAGGAGGCGGCTAGTTGACCCGAAGGCCTCTTCTGTAACATGAGACCTGGTTTCATGTTACCTCAGTTTGTACTATTAAATATGGCTGTGACTTGATCTTGTTTAACAAACAGCCAGACACACAACCGTTATGCCATGCAGTTTTCACATATTTTGGCTTCTGGCAGACCTTGGAATATGCTGAAAAGACAGAAGAGTTTTCAAAGAAAAGGGAAAAAAAACCACACACGTGAAAAGTGTTCTAGCAAAAGGATGAGAGAAATATGGCAAAGGAAACAGAAACATGAAATATTGTAACAATACAGTTACAGTTGTATGTTTGCTTATCTAACGCAAATATTCAGATATATCTTTCATTTCTAATACATTTATACAACTTTTTTACCCTACTAGATTCTGTGTAAACGAGTCCCCTATTTGTGTTTTGCTCCTTTTCTCTCTTTTTTCTTAATTAAAAAGATAGAAATAAAATCGAATGCTTTATGTTTAGAATAGCGATAGCAAAAGCCAAGTACAAACCAGGGCAGGAAAAGAGGAGAAACGTTCAATTGCTGAAGAAGACAGGCTGGAGTTTTCCTGTCTGTGGCTGCTGCGCCCTTTCGTTGGGCTTCATCAGTTAAGATTTATGGAGGGCAAAGAGGGCCCCTCCAAACAGCCTTCCACCGTTTCTTGCTAGAGTCCCTTTTCCGTATTTTCTGCACCTTTTTGGCCTCGTTCAGCTGGCACAGGAGATCCTTGACCCTGACCTTCTCCACCCCTAGACTTGGCTCTGGTGCTCCTTCAGAATGGATTTCCAAAAACACCCGAGTCTGAAAAGAAGCTGGAAAGGAAGAAAGTGTGTGAAGTAAGGCTGGAGCAGCTGCTCCCTAGCGTTCCATTCACCACCATGGGGGTGGGGGGGTGGGGGGGGGGGGGGGGGGGAACTCTCCCCCCCCCCGCCTAACATGCTGGGTGGTTCTTTTTCTCCAGTCCCTGAGGAACTGGGTTTGTGCCTTGCAGAACACACACACACACACACCCCATGGGCCGTGGTTGGGCTGAGCTCATGCAGCCGGCTGGAGCATCCAAGGCCCCCTTGGTTATTGGGAGAAGCCTGTGGGATGTTGAGGGGGAGGTTAAGATGAGTGCAGTCCAAATTCGGATCTCCTCAGCCATGGAAGTTCATTCTGACTTCCTCTCCAGCTTGTGTGTGTGTGTGTGTGTGTGTGTGTGTGTGTGTGTGTGTGTGTGTGAATTAAAAAGAAAATCCAGAGGAGGAAAAGCTCTTGTCTGCTGCTCCCTCCCTCAGAGGAGGGAAAACACAAATGAAAATACAGTGGCTAATTTCTCCAGAAAAGTTGTTGACTTTGCCTCCTCCCCCCCCTTTTTTTTTTGCAGATTTGTTGTGCTGTACTGGAGAGAATGTTGGCGTGTAAGTGAGGGCTGTAGGAGTGGATCACGGGCGATCAGGAGTGTAATCCCACTTTAGAGAGAGGCTTTTGAGAATCACTCAACAGGACATTGCTACCACACCAATAGCTTGACCTCTTCGGGCATCCTTCGGGCATGTCAATCCACCCTGAAACGTTCAGACTGTCCAGCTGTGAATTGTGCATCCCCCCCTTCCCCCCCCCTTTGCATTGCATCACTGAGAACGTTGGGGGGGGGGGTGAATTCTCCCAGGGAAGGACGGCGATCCCAACTTCGGCTTTGAAGGTCTTTGGTCTCCAGATCGCTTTGTTCCAAAATGCAGATGTTTTGTTCCTTCAGATGTGTTTCTTTTTCATTCCCATCTATGCTCTTGAGCGGCCATGTTCCCCCCAGGGACCCACGTGCAGTAAATATATTGCAATGGCAGGACAAGTTTTCAGAAAGAAGGGAAAACCTCCTTTCAGGCCTCTATCGTGATTAAGCCCGAGGTTCCTCCCTTGAGACATCATTCCTCGTGGCTCTTTCCTTGCCCTCTCTGCTAGTCCTGCCCTCGGCTTGCTTCTCCTAGTGAAGGCGCTCCCTTGTCTTTCCTTTAGGGGTGCTGGATGCTGTCGTTACGGAGAAGCAGGGCAGAGCCTCCCCCACAGGGAAGGCGGTGAGGCGCTGGTGAGGATCTACTCCTCCCCGAGGTTGGGGCTGGGGGAGCCGCGTTTCTGAGCCCTGCAAGGGATCCCTGGGCGTGTTTCCCTTCGTTCCCCGCATACGCAGCGGGGATGCTCTCTGCTTAACGTGGAACTCCCCTTTCCAGCAGCCGTTCTCTGCCGGGCCAAAGTTTGGCCCACTGAATTGTCTTGTTTTATTTACTAATAATAGCATGCTTTTATGTTTTTTGCCAAGCACTTGGGCAATAATCAGAAAATAAATATTTATCATTTATTTACAGGCCTCCCGGTAAATGCCCACTTACTGAAAAAATGGGAGCAATTAGCAGTAATTCTCAAGCCTGCTGACTCATTGTTCTTGCCTATTGAGACGTTTCCCCCCTTTGCGCACAGGCTCCATGTATCCAGCTTGACGGTTTTCCAAGGCACGGCTCCCCCCGAGACTCCGCAGCTGCTCTTCGGGCACATCTTCACCCGTGTGCTTACCTACAATCCCCATCTGACAGGTAGGATCCCTAGAAGGGGGCCAGGTGTGCTCAGAACTGCGGAGGGACGAGGGAGGTCCTCTGCAGGACCCTCTGCCACTCCTGGAAGTCGCCCAGCAGGCTCTGGACCAGCTCCCTGTAAGACCCCAGGCTGCTGCCAGCACCTCTGCCTGGGGTGCCTCTGAAGGCTGAGCTGGTGAGTCGACAGGATCCAACTGTGTGGTTTGAACACGGCTGCCTGCGGACTCTCGTTTCTCCTTTTAGCTGCCATTTATTTTGAGGGATAAATTCAGTGCTTGGTCAAATAAGTTCTTTGAGGACAAAGCCAGAATGCACGTTTTTCTCCTGAGTTGTTCATAGTTCATGCGACTCTCCAGCCATGGAAATGTCTTTCCACTCAGCAGCTACTGGGGTGGAGTGAGGCAGGGCAGGATACGACTCCAGGCTCCCCGGGAATTTGGTTGTGGAACTCGAGCAACCAACTGAAAGCTTAAAGAATGGGAAGATCTGATCTGAGATCTCCTTTTCCGTTGCTCCGGCATTTTGCCCTTCTGGCTGCTCTCCGTCTGTGGGGTTCTGGCTTCTGCAGGGATCAGTGGGAGGAGGGAGGGAAGGACAAGGGAGGTGAGGTGGCTGTTGGGAAGAGCCTCGGAAGGAAGGAAGGAAGGAAGGACATTTTGCCAGGCACAAGCCAGGGAAGAGGCTCCTCCTGCAGTCCGGCTCTTCCTGTTCTGCGAAACCAGCGTTTCCTCCCCTCCCTCCCTCCCCCCCTCCCTCTCTCTGAGCAGTCTCGGACGCCGTCCACCTGCAGAGGGAATGGAGCTTTGCCAGGACCAGCTCGCTGCTTGCTACCTTGTACCGCAAAGTATGTCCTCCTTTCCAGTGAACGCCGCTTAATAAGTCAGGCTGTGCTTTGCCAGTTTCCATTTTACGGCGGCCGCCACGTGACCCAGGCAGCATTGGCACACCCAGAAACGACCCCTCTGGTTCTCCGGCCCAGAAGGGCAGGAAAGCCAGGAAGTGCCCCAGCAGCAGAGCAGATGGAGGCTCTCCCCAGGGGAAGGGGACACGAAGGGCGTTTCCTCTCTTCAGTTTGGGGCAGGGAGAGCCGGAGTTTCCCTCGGGGAATATGAAAGGGGGCCAATATCCGTGGCGATGTCTCAGGAGCCCCTGACTGAAGGGCCGCGGGGGGGGCGGGGGGTGGTGGCTGGGCTCAGCATTCAGAAGGCAGCTCCCAAAAGCCCTTCCAAAAGCCCTTCCGCCCCGTGCCAGGTCTTCGTGGTGTTCCAGCCAGAGGAGCTGACCGGGCGCTTGCAGCAGGTCCTGGAGACGAGCGAAGTGAACTGGCACCACGTCCTCTCGTGCGTCTCCACCTTTTTAGTCTGTCACTCCGAAGCAGGGCGGCTGATTAAAGGTACCGGCAGCGGCTGGGAATTGGGAGACCCTGAAGACTCTGCTGGGGGGTGATTTGGCCTCCAGCTCCGGGGCTCAGGCCTCTAACGGCAGCTGGGGAGTGAGTTCGAGACTGTCCTGTGTCCCCCCTAGGCCTCCTGGAGGGTCTCCTGAGAAAGGCCTTTGCGAATTACGACCTGGAGAGCTTGATCACGGCGTTCTTACTCGCCCGCCAAGCAGCCTTGGAAGGCCCTGCCTTCTTCCCCGCTTACGCAGAGTGGTTTAAGGTGAGAGCCACGAGGGGCATTCCTTCCAAGGACGGTGGGGGGGGATTCCTGGGGAGGAGTGTCCTGGCCTGCAGGCTTTGGAGGAGGCTGCCCAAGGGGAGCTGAGCTGCAGCCTCGTGACCCTGCCTGCCTTCAGGCACCCTGAGGCCTCGGTCCAGGTGCACCTGGTGGGAGGTGGGTGGAAAGGCCACGTGCCACTCACCCAGCTGAGCAAGGCTGCTTGGGTCACGGGGCTGTGCTGGACATCAGGGCCAGGGAGGGTGGGGTGCTGGCCAAGCGGGCTTCAGGCACCACTCTCTGCTTCCAGCTCACTTTTGGGAGCAGCAGCAGCCTCCACGGCAGCAGCAAGAAGGCCCTCCTCTTCCTCTTTAAGTTCCTGTCGCAGCTGGTGCCCTTCGAAGCTCCCCAGTACCTGAAGGTGGGTGCTGCCCTTGCTCCTGGGTGGGTGGGCTTCGAGATTTGCTAGGGCTGGCTACCTCCCGGCATACTGAACTGTTGCCCGGAGCTCAGGCTGGCTGGGGATTATGGGAATGGAAACCCAAGCAGGGGCTACCGCGGATGGTGCTGTCGGAGCAACGCAAACCCATTTCTGCCCGAGAGGCTTTGCAGAGGGTGAGGGTGCAAAAGAGTATATTTAGTGTGCAGCCTCCCTTCCCATCCTCAACAACATCCAAGCCCCTGGGGTGGGGGGGGGTGGGGGGTGAGAAATGGCCCCCCACCAATTTCCCTGGAGCCTCGGATGTGCAGCTCAGAGACCTGCTGCTTCGATGCACCTGGAATTGTGAGGGGGAGCATTTCTGCTTCGTGCCTCACCTTGTTGGCAACTCTCTAGGTCCACCTCCTGCACCCCCCATTTGTGCCCAGCAAGTACCGGACCCTCCTGCTGGAATACATCACGCTGGCCAAAACTCGCCTGGCAGATCTCAAGGTGCCCCCCTCACTGGGGGACAAATGGGGGAGGGTGGTAGAAGGGCCCCCCTTCCATGTGCCCATGGCCGCCTGTGCTGCTCCTTCTGCCTGTCTCCCCAGGTGTCGCTAGAAGACATGGGCCTCTATGAGAACCTCTCTTCCAGCAAGGAAGCCTCCCAGGTACGGGCCCCGATCCCGGCCCAATGAATGCTGCCACTTGTAATGGCAGATTTCGCCTCCCTACCTCCAAACCGTCCATGGGAGGTTATGAATTCCACCACAAACGGTTTAGCCAGCTGTGATGTGCCCAGATAATGCAGGCGGCTGAGGTGTGCACCCTGAGTGAGGTTTGGGGCTCAGAGCAGCTGGAGGGGCCCCTCGGAGGACTTGTGGTTCCAGCTCTTCCCCAGAGCTTCCAATCTCGGGATGTGCCGCTGGCCGTTGAAGGGCTGTCTGACGAGAGGCGCTTCTTGTCTTCCAAGCGGTGGCATGTGAGGGCAGCTCACGCCCATTCTGAGCACTCCGGCTGCACTCCCCGAAACTCTGCGGGAGCCCGGAGGCCTGAAGCTGCCCGATTTCCCCTCGTGCTTAGCAGCGTCTCCTGGCGTCTCTGGGTGCTTTGGCCGTCTTAGTCTCTTCTGTTGTTTTGGTGTCCTGGCTTGCCCGGCACCCAAACTCTTCTCTGCCGTCATGAGACAGTCTTCCTTGGCCCGGACAGTTGTGCAAAACAGACGTTCTTCTTTGTGTGTGTGTGTGTGTGTGTGTGTGTGTGTGTGATGTAGGCATGCTGTCAAGCTCTTCAGGATGTTGAAAAGGCTGTCCAGATATTCCGGAATACTGGCAAGATCCCAGCAAGCGTGATGGAAGCCAGGTAAGGTCTCCCCTTTTGAGGGTGGGAGAAAAGACCACTGCCAAGGGCAGCTGTTTGCAGAGAGACCTCAAGGGAGGGGGAAAAAACCCCAATAGAAAAATGTCAGGTTCTCACGTAAAACAATTTCCACTTTGCATATTTATAGATAATAATTTATTAAGCTCCTATGCTGCCCAACTCCTCTGAGTGACTTACAACAATCAGATTACAACCAAATGAATAAAGATTTAAAAACATGGCAAGCGCAACCGGCTGGGTGGAATGAAAAAAGGGGGTCTCCTTCTAGAAGGGCCAGGTCCGCCCAGCTGCAGGGTGGGGAGCGGCAGATCTTGGGGTGGGGGCATCTCAACCCGGGGGGGCAAGCTCTTTTACAGAGGAGGCTCACTTACGGGGTCCTGCTGGAAGACACTGTTTAATGTTTACATTTATAATTTGTATTTTACTTCTAAATGTGTTTGTTCTTAATCATGGGTGACTGGGTGGCTTTCTGTGTTTCATCTGCCTGCTTCTGTCTCAGTATTTTCAGGCGGTCCTATTACATCTCCCGTTTTCTTCCTGCTTTGCTTGTACCACGAGTGGTGAGTTTTCTTTTTTCCATTGTTCGTGTCCAGTGGAGTCTTTAAATATTTTGGTTTTGATCTTTTGTTCAGAATGCTGCTCTGTTAACAGAAAACTCTCTCAAATAATCTGCAGGATAGAAATGCCTACCTGTTAACTTTGCAATGGGAAATTCGTGCTGACTTCTTTTATGATTATCTCTGTAGCTTCCTGAAACCCCTGACACCCGCATGGTTTTGATAGAAGCCCTCAAGAGGTAGGAAGGCAACATTTGAGATAAAAGGCCGTTTCCCTCCAGTTCTTTAATGGGAAGCATTGTGTCATTTGACCTAACTTTGGCTTGCTTGTATTGTGATCTGTTCTGCTTTGTGAAGTGCATACGGATGTCTAATCAATTCTAGTAACATTATTCTGGATTTCAATCTTATTTTTACTTAGAGCGACTGCCATTCATTGCAGTCAGCAAGGGGTTCTGCTAATAGAGCATATGATATAAATATTCTGCCCGTGGTTATTGTGATTTTGTTACTTCCCTAGTTAGAAAAACCGTGGGCGTTGCTTTTTCACAAAATAGCTAAAAAGAGATTACTACTTTCTTTTAGCAATACATCAGTTAGCAATTTTCCTTTCCCTTGGCCCTATAACCCAGTATCACAGGAGTAAATTTCTCTCAAGAGGAGCCCTTTCTAATGCTAATTACAAGCTCTTGGGGTGGGGGCTCACCGAAGAAAAACAATTGTGTCTCCTAAACTAGGGCTGAAAAAATCCCTCCGATCGCATTCGCCACTTACTTGGAAGAATGCGAAGCTGCTAAAAGGGAGCCCTTGCGAGGTGAGCCTCCCGAACACGGTTCCTCGGTTCTGTGTGCGTGAAAACCCCCTTTTTGTTCTGCTGCGCCTGCTGGCCTGCTTCGGCGGCAAGAAAGGGAAACAGTTGGAGGAGTTGAGGCCCTGGCGTGCATTTTTTTGTTTTTGGCAGAAAAGCAGGGGAAGGCCTGCCAGGGGAATCCATAGCCTCATTGGGCATCTGGCACCGAGTCGCCAAAGACCTTCAGGGCAGGGAGGATTCTGGGGCTGTGAGTTGGGTGAGCTGCAGAGCTTCTCTGCAGTTACTGGGACAAATGCAGCACAAGGAGAGGCCATTCTTAAGAGTCGCAGAAGCTGAGGTGCTGCAGCCAGTCGGGAATTGGTCCGGGAAAGGATTTGCAGGGCCTCAACGGTGGCTGGAGATCTCTGGAAGCTGCTTTGGTGGAAGGCGGCCTCTAGTGGCTGCAGGAGGCATCTCCGGGCTTCTGGAGATACCGCTGGACCAGCCAGCTTGGCTGCCTTGTGGCCCTTCATCCTACCAGATTGATGCAGATAGAATGGCATTGCCAGTTGAACTCCCAACAGCTGCTGGCACTGTAGTTGCCAGGTAGGATTAATGCCCGGAACCCTTGAATTCTTCAGGCACTTTGCAAGGAACAGAAATACTTCAGTTTGGTTACCTGACAAGGGATGCAATTGTCAGGCACACAAATTGTGACTAGCAGGTATTTAGGGTGAGCAGCCGAAGGCAGGGAGAGAGAGAGAAGGACATGCAGCAACAGGCCCCATAGGTCAGTCCAGCACCCCGTAGTAGCCTTGGCTGGGTTGAGGCTACTTGGTCCAACTTCAGATTGTGAGCCTTGAAGTTCCAGGACGGGGGGGGGGTGAGGCCCCTTCCTTTCTGCCTGAAAAGGCTGCCAGCTTCTTCCAACCTCCCTCCCGCTTCCCTGCCCCTGTCTGAGGCTTCTCTCTCTGCCCCTCAGGGGGATCAGCTGAACGAGAGGCGGGGAGCCCTAAGGAACCCCTGGAGCGACTAAAGGCTGAACTCGAAGCGCTGAGGCTGCTCGTCCCAGACGCCAGCAAGCACGGGGGTAGGTCAAGGGGGCTGGATCCCTGGGACAGGACAAGGGCAGCCTCTCAGGCTGGCTGGGGAATTCTGAGGGCTGAAGTCCGGCCATCTTGGAGTTGCCAATATCGAGAAACACGGCTCTAGGGTCCCTGAGCGTCCTTGGAGGACCTCCGAGCTTGTTCAATGACCCCGCGAGACGCGGCTCTCAGAGGAGGTGTTGGTCACTGAAGGAGCTCAGCAGCTCAGCAGAAACAGCCTTTTCTCCTGCTGCTCCTGGGTGGCTCACGGGACCCCCCCCCCCCCCCCCCCCCCGTGTGTTGCAGCCATTCCAGCCCAGGTGGCGCTCATCTCTGGGAGGCTGCTGGAGGTTTTGGGACCCCTGACAGATGACGACGAAGCAGCTTCCCTGACCTTGAGGGTGAGGCTGGACCTTTCGGCTCCTGAAGTTGGTGCGGCAGATCAAGGGGTGCGGAGGGGAGCGAGCGGCTGGGGGGGGCAGGGGAGCTGGGGGGCCGGGAGGGCTGGTCCCTCTCTCTCCTTCGGAGCTGTAGCTCAGCTGGGCCCCGAAGTCCATCAACCGGAAGGGGTGGAAGTGAGCCGGCTGGGTCTCTGTTCCAGGCTGTTGACCTTCTGCTGGCGTCCTTCTGTCAGGATGTCATGGCTGCCTCTTTCTTCCTGCCTCCTGACAGGTAAGACAGATTCTGGCTTCTTTGCAGCGCCTACGCTGAAGCGTTTATGCACCACCCCGACATTCATCCTGGCAGTCATGCCACAGGGCGCCCTTTCTGTCCCCCGCAGGCAAGGGCCCTGGCCTTCCCTCTTCGTGAAAATGATCTGTGGGCACCGCTCGCTCTTGTCCCCCTTGCTGAGCCGGCTCTGTCAACTCCTCTACCACCAGGTTGGTGGATCAGAGAAGATCTCGCGGCGAGGTTTCTTGACGCCATTGCACTCGCTCTGGTGTGCTTGCAGGCCTTGACCTGGCCGTCTCCCCCTTTGCTGACTGCAGGGACCGTCTCTGAGTGACGCTCATGTCCTGGGCCTGGCTGCCTTCGTGGTCCACTTCACGGAGGCCGAGTCCTTGCTCCCCCCCGTGGACCTCTGCTTCCCCTCAGTTCCTCGTGTGGCCCTGCACACGGACCTTCCCCTGGCTGGGCTGTGGGACTATTTCTTGGCACCCAGGTCTGGAGACTCGGCCCTCTTCTGCTTGCGGTAAGTAAGGCCCTCTCTCCCTCTGGGCCACAAATCTTCCCTTTCATAGCGGGAGATGGTGCCACCCTTTGGGGCCAAGCCCCTGGCCGGCCGGTAGAGCGGCTCAAGTGGATTGGGCATGTCATAAAAATGGAGGGCCCGAATGGAATAGCGGACACTCCCTGGTGCGTTTCTTGAGCTGGCCTCTTTCTCAGCATGGCTGGATCAAATCTAGCGGCTGGCAAGAAAGAGCTGCATAAATATTGTTCCTCAGACGAAGAGGGGGGTGAACGTCTGAAAAGCTGCTCCCACAAGTGGTTCTCCCCCACCCCTCCTCTGCAGGTTCTGCACTGCAGCAGTTTCATACTTTCTGTGCAAGTTCCCTTCCCTTTCCCACGAGCGCCTTTGTTCTGAACTTCACCCAGGGTTCGTGAAAAAGGTAACTCTCCCCCCCTCTCCCCGTCCTAAATTCAGTCCCGCCCGTCTCCATTTCCCCCCTGCTGAGATTCCTGGGCAGGGACCTGCCTGGATTGTCCAAAGTTCTGCCTGACTGACCACAGCTCAGAATTTGGTGGTGGCTGCAGCCTTATTAGCTCAGCCTCCCCGAAGTTGCACTGCGTGTTGTTCCTCATTCGAGGAGTTTTTGTATCCCAGCGCCTCACAGGTGCTTGTCTGGCCTAATAACTAAGCGAGGCATGAATAAGGAACCCAGGTGGTTTCTGTACTGGCCTGACTGGCTGGAGAAGAGAAACGGGGGGCAAAGGAAGCCTATGGCTGTGTGTGTGGGGGGGTCCTGGGGGTGGCAGCATCCAGTCTCCATTTGTGCCTGAGGGGTTTTCTCAGCAACGCCCTTCAAGGCGGCAGAATTCAGGGAGGCTTCTTCATTTTAACTCAGCCCTGTGGAATATCCGGGCAACACCGCGAGCGACCTCTTCTGCTTCGCAGCTCCAGTATGTCGTGCCACGGCTTTGCTTGGAAGCGCGAGAAACTGGCCACGAAGGGGAGTCGGCCGCGTTTCCTTGGGAAGAGTTGTCCTGCCCCCCCCTCGGCCACCAGAAGGCGGCCCTCAGCCTGTGGAAGCAGGCCTGTTTCCAGGGCCTCCTGCGGGAGGAAGCCTTCCAGGTAAAGGCCCCCGCAGCCTTGAGCGTCAACTGGGGGCGGGGCGGCTTTGCAGGGCTCTTGGGCTGAGTCCGATGCCCCCTCCCTGCCGCCCTTGGAAGGGGGGGCGGTTCGCCTTTCTGCCCTGAGTATTTCTGCCCTTCTTCCAGCTGACCCTCCGCGAGTGGCTGAAGATGGAGCTGCAGGTCCTCCCCGACCAAGACCTGCTTTCTGTCAGCGAGAGGTGAGGACAAGCAGCCGTAATGCACCAAGGGGATCGTTTGGGCCATTCATTAGTGCTTGTTTGTGAGTCAGGGGCCTGGTTTGCCACCCCCGAGGCGGCTGTGTGGAAGAACCGTGTGTGTTTTATTTGGGGAGGGGAACGTGGCGACCTTATTCAAGGCCGGCTTCTTTGTGCCAAACAGCTGAAGAATCGCTGCTCTGGTCTCAGTGCAGCCTCTGCCAGGGCTGGAGAGAGCAGCCAACGTGGTGGCGCTTCCCTTCTCCTGATCTCCTCCCCCCTTGGTTTCTTTCACCCCGTGCCCCCGCTCCCCCCCACCCCAACTGGGCTTTGGGTCCCTCGACAGGCAGGAGTTCCATTCCTGGTCTCTGCATCAGCACTACCTGCCGAGGCCTGTTGCAGCTGGAGGCTGCGGTGGGAGCCTGAGAGAGATGGGGGCTCTCTTTGCCCACGCCATGCTGGACTTCCTCCCAAGGTGAGCCGCCTTTCTGCGGGACCCGCTTGCTCGGGCGGGGAGGGGCTTCTGACCTGAGGGCTCCTTCTGCAACCGCCTCCCATTAGTTCTGGGAAACAAAAACGGTGCCGTATCTACAGATCGGATGCAAACATTCCTTATGGCTGGTCTTTTGCTCAACTCCAGTGGTTTAGTTCATTGCTGATCCATTCTTCCTGGATTGGATTCAGGGAGTGGTCCGGAAGGAAGACATCGTTGCCTGACTTTATCTAGATCCAGCCCAATGCATATCAAAATGTACACCCCGTTCTTTACTACTTTCTAGGAAACGTTCTGATTGGTCTTACGCATTTCCCGTTGTCTTTGTGTTGCTTTGACTTTTAGGACTGACTCGGAGGCCTGCCGTCTCCAGAGGAACTCTGCCCCGAGCCCTGCAAGGGGAAACCCTGAGCTCTACTGCAGGTTTCAGGTGGGGTAGCTGTGATCGCTACCTTTCATTTCACGTCCTTTCCCTGCGAATGTTTTCCATGAGCTTTGGGTGGGTCTCCTCAGCAAATGCTGTGGCCGGGGGGCTTCCTAGCACACAAGCATCGTGGCCCAGTTACGTGGCAGGTGGGCCGTGGCTGCTAGTCCGACCTGGCTGTGGCCAGCGTTTTGCTAAGAGTGCATGAGAAAGATGCCCGGGTGCGCCACCGCATTGAAACGGGCAGCGGCTGGGCAATGGGAGGGCAACCTCTGTCCCACGGAATAACGTTGGAAGGGCGAAGAAACACTCCACGGCGGGGCTGACTGAGTGGCACAGCCTCTCCCAGGCAGGGCCCTCCAGACGTGGGGATGTCCAACTCCCGTCAGTCGCAGCCAGGCTGGCCCAATGCTGGGACTCCCGCCTGGCTGCCAAGCGGCTCCCCAGGTTGGCCCAGGAGGCGCCTGGGCGTGTGGGCAGGGACTGGCTCTCCCACCTGGGCTTCAGGGGCTCACCTTGATTTCAGGAGCTGCTGCTGGAGCTGGAGCTGGAGCGCAGGAGAGGCCTGCCGGGCGGCTGCGGCACCCAAGAGCCCTTCCTCTTCCAGGTGTTCCGGGAGAGGCTGGGGGCCCTGGGCACCGGGGCTGCTCTGGGGGACCGGCTGCTCCGGCAGCAGGAGCTGCTCTCCCAAACCAGGTGAACACAGAGGGAGGAGGAGGAGGAGGAGGAGGAGGAGGGCACACCTGCCGCCTCCCCGCAACTCTCTCCGGGGGCCGACGGGGGCAGGAAGTTGGGCTGGCTTCCCCTCACGGCACCCTGCTGTGTCCTCAGGATCCTCTTGAGCCTGCCTCCGTCCGTCCTTGTGGCCACGCAGAAGGAAGGAGGGGAAACCGTGGTGGCCTGTGAGGGCTTTTTCTCCTTTGTAAACATGGAACTGGTGTGTATCACTTCCTGGGGCCCAGCAGGGTTCTTGGCGGTGCCCCAGGCAGCCTGGGAGGGAGTTTCAGGCACCCTGGGCTGCTCCCTCCGGGCACACAGCACCTGCTAAGAAGGGGGACAAACTGGCACTGCCGGCCTGGGCTGGGGGGCGTTTATTAGGGACTTCTCCTCTGGCTTGCTTTGTCTGGAGGAGCAAAATACAGCACAGGCTGGGCCATCGACTGCTCCATCATTAAGGAGCAGAGGCAGCTGAAGGGCTCTTCAACTTGTGCCCAGAGCTTTGGTCACAGGTCTGAATCCAGCTTACCTAATGAGCAGTTTTGGCTGGAAACATCATGTGACCGCAACCGGTTGTAATTGTGAGGCGGTTGCCAGGTGCTGGAGATGCGATCCCATGACCGCCGGGTGTCTGTGTGGCAGCCAACTGAGGACAAGTCACAGGTGACTTTGTCCATCGTGACTTTGACTGGCCGAGGGCCCCTTTATCCTGGCCCATGTAGGGACTGGCTTTCTTGGGGACGCTTTCCTCATCCCTCGCCTCCCTCTGGTGCTCTTACAGAGGAACAGCTGCTCCGGAGGATGCGCTCTGCCTTACGACATCACCGCACACTTCTTCAGGGTAAAGGAGACCAAAGGGGGCTGGATAGTTCACCCCATGGGGGTCTGTGAGAGGTACTGCCCAGCCATGGAGGGGTCCTGGGCCTGCAACCCCCCCACCCAACAGATGAGCCTTGTTGTCCTGCTCTCTGGAAACTTGCCATGAGATGATGGAAGAGGAGTCGCCGGGAGTGAGCGGTGGGGGCTGAGGCTCTCCTGGACCTGTCAGAATGGGAAACCGCCCGAAGGAAGGGAAGGGGCTCGAGGCCGCTCCCGAGGCCGCCTGGCTCCCCTGCTCCCTTTCCCCGTGGCTCCAGCAAGGGCGGGGGGCGGGGGGGGTGGCTTGGGGCTGGCCTGTGGGTTGGATGTGCTTTGAAGTCCTTGGGAATCGGGCAGCGAATCCTTTGAGATGGTGGGGGTGACGATGCTTCCCTGGGGCCCCCTCGTGTCAGGGGGTTCCGTGGGGTCCCTGCCTGCTGAGGGCTCTGCTGTTCTTCAGGGCCTCCTGAGCGCCAGTGTGGAGTGCAGCCGTCCTGCCCAAGAGGTGACAGCCGTGCTCTCTTCCTGCCAAGCCAGGTGTCCCCTCCTCCTCTGCTCCGCTGCGGTAAGAGGCCTTTCTGGGGGGGGGTCAGGGGGCCTCGTAAGCCGGGCTCCGTTTGTGGATGTGGAGGGCAACAAAGCCCCCGTGCTCCCCTCCTCTGTTGCTTGAAGAGAACGATGAATGTGTTGTGCTATTTCCTCTCAAAGATGCCTCCGTGATGCAGAGCCTGTTTGAATAAACATGCACATAAAACACTCCTGCAATGTTTGGCTTTCCTTCCCAGCCCCCCCTTTGGCTGCACGAACAGCGGCTGCCCCGGAAGGCTTGAAAGGGGGCTGGTTGTGAGGCTGGGGGGGGGGGGAGACGCACGGTTGCCCTGCATCCTAAGGAGAGGGAGGGTGAGGATCCGCGGAGTCCCTGGACAGAGCACCTCCAGGAAGCTCCAGCACGAAGTGGCGCGTTTCTGTATTCGGTGACTGCCTGCCGCTTGCCTTCCTGCAGCGATGGTGGCCGAGGCTGGAGTGTGTCCTTTGCTCACAGTGGAAGAGACTCTTCGGAGCTCCTTTGGCTCGGGGGCTGCAGAGCCTGAAGGATTTACAGTCTTCCCTGCAGAGGTGAGTCCAAGGAGCTGTGTCGGTGCAGCGGGGGGTGGGGGTGGGGGCTTCTCTGAGCGGCTCAGTCGGCTGTCCCAGCAAAGACCTGGGGAGATGGCAGCGCGGAGTAGATGTGTGTGTGTGTGTGTGTGTGTGTGTGTGTTATGTTCCGGCTCCTGTTGGCTCCTGTCCCCTGGATCCAATGAGCTCCACCTGCCCTCGTGGGGCCCTGGCCTCCCACAGGCCCTTATTCCAATGGGCCACCTCAAGGGGCCCCCCTTTGTGGGGGGCGGGGGGGTGCAGGTGTCAGGGCTGCAGCAGCAGCAGCAGCAGCAGAAGCAAGCGGTGGTTCCAGCAGTGGCCGCCTCCTCCCTGCCTGCCTGCCTGCCTGCTCCGGTGGCCAGGATGCTTTCTCTCCCAGGTACCACCCGGGAGGCTCCTTCCTGTGGTGCTTGGAGAGCAGAAACCCTCCGGACTCCCCCACTGACGCTCTGCCTTCGCCTCCTAGCTGCCTTGCGTCGGAAGCAACCTCCCTGCCCGCCTGGGTCCCTGCCGCTTTCCTCCACTTCACCGTCCAGCGGCAAGCGGAGCGTGAAGAAAAGGGAGACGTGCTGAGAAGGTTGGGGCCCAAAGCGGAGCCGGTGAGTTCCTTCCGCTTCCGCTTCCAGGAGGCAGGGGAGAGTTCTGGCCAAATGCAGAAGGGATCCGAGTGCGGCCCGTGGGAGGGAGAAGGGGAGCCATGACTTTGGTCGAGGGACGGGGCGTTGGAGCTTCGAGTCGGTGACTGTTGTGGCTGTTTTTATTTGCGGTTCTCAAACTGGCAGTTCCTGGTGTACGTCCTCTTCTTTTCCATCATGGATTTCATCTCGGCAAAAGTGGCACCACAGGCGAGTTCTGTTTCCACACACGGGGAAATGAAGGCCGGCCAAGAGACAGGGAAACTGGTGACATCGGTTGACCTGCCTTCAAGGGCTGCAAGTCCATGCCCTGAGGGCTCCCCTGGACTCGCATCCAAGGCACCCCACAGATCCCTTTCAACAGGCAGCACCCGTGGACCCTGCCTGGAGGCCACTCGTGGGAGGGGGCCGCAGAGTGCAGGAGGTCGCTCGTGAAGAGGGTTTTTGTTGGTGGGGAAACGGGGAGGCTGGGATTGACTCCGGCAAGAAATAGAAACGACGTCACCCTTTTCCCCCCCAGGAAGGAACAGATGCCCCCAGAGTTCTGGGATGGAGTTCCCGAGTGCTTCAGCGCTTGATGGAAGAAGGGCCTGGCTGGCTGGCTGTCTTCTGTCCGGCAGGAAAAGGTGCAGAAACCGTCCTCCGCTGCAGCGTCAGAGCAGGACTGATAAGGTTGCTCTGAAAAACGAGCCCTGGCGCTCCTGCCCCATTTGGTTTGCAGGCCGCGAGCTTTACGAGACCCTGCGTGGGACGGTGTCCGATCAGCACTTGAAGATGCTGCCGGTTGCCTTCTACAGGTAAACCCCAGGAGGGCTCTTTGCACACAGGAAGGGGAACTTCGGGGGACAGCAGGGCAGGAGGAGCCTGGCAGGGCGATTTGCTTCTATGGGCCTCCCTCACAAAAGCGCCCCTCCCTCTGACCCGGGGGGGGGGGGGGCTTTCTGGGCGTGGCCGAAGCCTTTGCCTCGCTCACTTTCCATTTGACAGCAACTGAACCTTTGGGCCTCACCAGCTTCCCTTGGCTGAGGTGCTATGGCAGCGGCTCAAATGTTCCCCCAAGATTCTGGGCCACGTGTGGAGGGGCTCCTTTGCTCCTTCCAAGGGTTCCACCGTCCCCAGGCTGGCAGTCGGAGGCCAGCTGGATCTCTGCCCGCACCTTTTCTCTCTCCTGGGCAACACACACAGAGATGCCCTGAAGGGCTTGGCTGCCTGCTCAGTGTCTGCCTGCCCCTATATCCCGCAGCCTGCTCTTCGCCTTCGATGTGGAAGGGCTCATCAGGGAGCCAACCTTCCTGCCTGTGGCCGTCAACATGTACGCACAGCTGCTCCAGCTCTTCACGGAAGGGGCCACGGTGGTTGGACCAAGCCGGAGCGAACAGAGTCTGCACACCTGCAATCTCGTGAGCACACCGGTTCTTTGAGTGGCTGGGTCTGCCCTCCAGCATTACCCCCCCGCCCCCCCCCGCCCTTCCTTTTCCTTGGCCCCCGTGGCGGGTCTGTTGCACGGGTGGGTTGCCATGATCCGCTAACTGGGAAGCACCTGGCTCACCCAGGCAGCAGCCCAAACTGGGCTTGAGTGGTGCTGCTGCGCATTTGCACGCATCACGAGAGGAGAGGGGGCTGCTGCGTCCCAAGGGAATGCAGCTGCTGCAAATAACGTTGCATTTCTGAGTTAACTAAAACATAGAAACTGTAAAACACAGAAAGCATCCCTCCCTCACAGGAAGGATGGGCTGGAATTGCTACTCCCAGAATTCCTATCCAGTGTGGCCACAGGGCGAGAATTCCGGGGGGGGGGGGAGGGCAGTGCAAACACGCAGGCGGATGAGAGCTTAAAAGCAACTGCAGGAAGCTAGCCAAAGTGATGGCCTGAACAAGAGTAATACATCCGGTCCCTTTAAACCTGTGATGCCATTGCTCCCTCTCTGAGGGGGGAGGGACTTGAGAGGCCAGGGAAGGAACCCATTCCCCAGCTGCCATCCCCTCCAGTTCTTACCCCGAATCTCTTACAAAGCTGGTTTGAACTTGGTTTGTCTTCTCCAGGGAGACTCACTAATGCTGATCCAGCAAGCGCGGCAACTCCTCCTCGGGGCCATCCCCCGGTGCCCTCCAGGGAGCTTCTCCAGCCTCCAAGAGGTGAGTGCCTGCCCCAAACACCCGAAACACCCAGCGGCCTAGAAGCTGCCCCTGGTTCTGCTCAGCCTTTCTGGGTGCAAAGCGCAGCGCCTCCGACTTGACCGCACACATTTACAAGGTTCTCCTTCTACATTTCCCTGGGGCTGCACGGATTTCAAATCCGGCCTTCACCGAAACATGGAGGCAGCAGGCCTCAGTCGGCTCCGGCACACCGAAGGACCAGGAGGGACTTCCCGTCCTGCCAGCTCTTTCCAACCCAGGAGACGGGAATCCCACCTGAACCCCCCCAACCTCTTCTGCATGCCCTGCTGACCTCTCGCCTCTTCCTCCCTCCCTCCCTCTGCTCATCCTCTCGGGGGTGTGTGTGTGTGAGAGGCGTCTGTTGAAGGAGGGCGCAGCTTCCACTCCACATGTGGTGGTCTCGGTTTACTCTTGGCCTTCTCTAGTTAGAAGGAAGCCGGATGCAGAGCTGCCGCCCGTCCCTCAGAAGGGATCCTAAGGGCTAGCTGGACCTGTAGCTTCTGTTCCCCAGACTTCTCACCCGTCCCACTAGGGGAAGATGGTCCGTTTTGCCGTTCTGGCGCACCCTCAGCACCTCTTTCCCTTCCCAGATGTTGGACCTCTGTGGGGACCTGGACCCAGAGCTCCAGGCAGCCCTCAGTAGTACAGGTGGGGATTTGCTAGAGGAAGGACTCCTGCTTTGCTGAAGGCCGAAGCCCCATCCCCCCCAGGCGAGTTTCTCCAACCCCCCCACCCCCACCCCAGCCAAAGGTGGGCAAATGAAGGATGTGCTTGGAATCTGGATCCCTCCAGCGTACTGTGTGAATAATTTATTACAAGCATAATTGTGACTCTGAACAATAAAAATCAGCTTACAAATGTCCTGTTCTTCGTTTTGAGCTTGGCTTTGGAATTGAAGGTAAAACATCTGGATTCAAGTCTCCATCATTCTCGAGATCCGTCGCAGGGAATTTGTGGGTGTCTTGTGAGCGATGCGCACCTTCACAACAGGCACCGTGATGCCCTTTCATCTTCGTCAGCGGGAGGGGCGGGGTGGACCTGCCTTTTGGCCAGGGAGGGGCTTCTCCGTAGGATGCCGCAGCCGTCGTTGACATAAGCGCAGAAAGAGTGACGGTCACCGCAAGGGGAAGCTCTTCGCAAGCAAGCAGGCGTCATTTCCCAGGGCCTTTTCCGAAGGACCCGCCCAAAGAGACACCACCTCCTGCCCTGCGTGATTGAGGCCAAGCCACGTTGGGGCGTTTTCAGGTGGGTTCCTGCTGCGCACTCCGCTCTACCTTGATGGGCTGGCCTTCCACGGTGTCCAGCAGCGCCCTGGGCTCCGGCTCCGCCCCCTTGGCTTTCTCCTGCGTCTGGGTCAGGGGGTGCACCATGGACATGTGGACATTGAGGTTGTGGGCCTTCTCGAAGCGCTTCCCGCATTGGTCACAGGCAAACTCCAGCTCCGCCTCTGCTTTGTGTTTGGTCATGTGGTACTTGAGGGAGGCTCGCTGTCGGCACTGGAAGCCGCAGATCTCGCACCTGGCGAAGGGAAGCGGGGCAGAAAGGACGGGGCGGGGCGGCTTTTAGGCAGCTTTGCAGAGGTGAGCAAAAATGGCCTCAGATCTTTACATCCTAGCTGGTCTTGGAGCCATAAGTGGAGCCAGATCAAACATTCAAAAAGCTCCTTGGGGGGCGGGGGGGGGGGGGATCACCTGTGGGAGAGCCCTACTGGCTTTAGGGGAAACCTGGCAGGTGCTTTTCTTTGGCAGACAGGAGGCCCTTCTGGCCAGGCTAGCTGGAAACCTGATCCCTAGAAGCAGCTTTCCTACCAGAGGACACGCAAAGCGTGAGAACCGTCTTCTTAGGGCCGAGAGAGAGAGAGAGAGGGAGGGGGAGCTCTCGCCTGACTGTGCGCGCAGCCAAAGGTCGCCCGGTGCCTGAAAGCCCCCAAACGCAGCCACAGGCAGACTCCTGGACCGGCACCAGCACTTACTGAAGTGGCTTTGCTCCGGAGTGGCGCATCTGGTGGACAGACAGGTGTTTGCGCTGCTTGAATGTCTGGCCACATTCGTCACAGATATAGTTGCGTACCTCTGGTTGGAAAAGAAAGCAAACCGTTATTCTCCATATAAACCGTATATAAACCGTAACTCTCCATTCTCTATTTTCTGGGCTGTATTCTAGAATTGGCTGCGGGCAGGTGCCCTCACCTGTGAGACCAGGTAAACGGGGGGGGGGGGGGGGGGGGGGGGGAGCTTGGTTAGGGAGGTCCCGATCTATTGAGACTTGTGAGAGGAGGAGCCAGAGGAGGGGAGGGGGCAGCCTCCTTGGGAGCGGTGGTCTCGTCTCTGCTCATCTTACAGGGATCCTTGCAGGGAAAGGACAGTCCTTGGCCCTGCGTGGGGGGAGTGGGGGGGGGCAACGAGGCTGCCTCCCTTTGAAGCTTTGCCGGGCTAAACCCCAACCGTGAACCCCGTCCAGGGTGGCAAGAGCAGCCTGCCAAGCGATGGCTGATGTCCCAGGCCTACCGGTGTGAATGAGCTTCACGTGGCGCTGAAGGTAGCGGTCAATCATGAAGACCTTGTTGCAGCCTGGGTGGGGACAGGGCCTCTCCCGGACTTCTTCGTGGTGCTCTTTGATGTGCTTCTAGACCCAAGCGGAGAGGGGGCTTTGGGCGGGTTCTCCTCTGGCCCACTTCACTGCCAGCATCATCCCCCCCCACTCTTTCAATGCCGTGGCATTTTGAGTGGGCAGGAGCCCTCGTGCCTGTTGACCCACCAGCTCCGTCCTCTCAGTCCAACGCGCAGCCAAACCCGGGCTGTGCGGAATGCGCTGCTTTAATCATACCGCCAGGTGTTTCTCTCTCGAGGGCCTAAAAAGGGCTCCCCCCCCCCCCGGAAGGAATCCCCCCCGACCCCCAGACGCACGCTTTGTCCTCTCCTGGGACACCCCCCAGGCCGTGGCTAGCTGCTCTTGCAGGGCGACCGGGCTTACCTTCATGCCATCCGCCCCTCTGTACACGGCTGTGCAGCCCTGATAAGGACACTTGTAAATGTTTGGCAGCTCCTCCCTGGAGAAGCAAAGGGCAGCTGGGTCAGAGCTCAGGCGGGGGCCCCTCGAGGCCCTGAGCCAGGCCCTGAGCCTCCAGTACCTTTCGCACTTGATCTTCTTCTTCCAGCCAGGTTTGGGCCCCGGCTTCTTCCTCGCTTTCTGCCCCTCCACGTTTGTGTCTTTGCTTTCAGCTTTTCTGCTGTTGGACACCCTGGGGGGAGAGGGAGAAAGCAGGGGAAGGGAAAGGCTCGTGGCGTCTCCCCCGCCCCCCCCCCCCCCAAGGAGGTGCAGCGGTCTGGAGCGGAGACCTACCTCTTTTCTGGATACGGCTCAAAAGAGTCATCCGAAGAAGACGGGGCTGCCTTGTGGTTCTCATCCTCGTTTGAAGACTCTCTGAGAAAGGAGAGAAGCTTTTAAACATTTCACGGGTCAAAATAGAACGGAACACGACTTAATTACAATGGACTTCAGACAGTTACCAGTGAACACGCAAAGCAAAAATTTAACACATAAAATAAAAATACAATTTGGTAGCCAAAACAGAGACCATCTATGTCAAAATTGAACCCTTTCTTAGCAGAGGAAGAGGAGGGATACAACATCAACTATCTCCAGTCCACAACACAGTCCTTTCTGCCGTTCCAAGAAGGCTCCACACCCATTTGCGCTACTCAGGTGACCCAGACAACACAGACAAACCTCCAAGTGGCCTCAATGACCCTCTGAAAGGATGCAAATGACCAGCTGTCTGCAAGGAATATAAATCCATTTCCCCACCATCCAGTCAGAGCCGAAGAAGCTTCTTGGGTCAGAAGCGAAACATCTCCAAAGAAAAACCAGAAAGTCCAGGGGCCTCTGGACAAAAGCACCTGGATGACGGGGAATCTCCATACTTCTGGTAGCCAAGTGACCTTTCCTTGACCAGCAGCTCCCAATCAACAAATCGCAGGTCTCTGAAAGGAGGTGGCTTAGAACCCATGGATGAAGGGCTGCTGCAAAGGCCACCAAGGAGCAAGGAAGAAAAACAGCTGCCCCAAAGCAGCTGCGAGAACTTGGTCTCTGGTGTAGCCAGATGCTGGCATCCAGAACTTTCCTGGAAAGGAAAGGATTCAGCTCTCCCTTCTAAATGCCTGGAGGGGTTCCTGAGAGGATTCTGGGACCGAGAAGAAAGGCTTCTAGAGGCCAGTCACTTCCTGGGATTAGCTGTATCTCAATGCAACACTTTAATGTTTAGAGCCACCAGCAATGGTTGCTCAGTTTTGTCCCAAACTATAATCGATTAACTCCCCGCAACCTCTAAGTATTCTTAGGACAAATTTAAAATCAGGGGCTTCCCAGCTTCGAATGTAACAACCAGCCAGCCACTTATCCCAGGCTTAGCAGCTCTTATCTTCCCCCTCCCCAGCTGGCCGGTCCTTTTGAGCTGGAGAGGTGAGAGTTGATTGCCAAACGGGGCCTTGTAAGCCAGTTGCTCAACCATTGTTCTGCACTCCCAAAGTCTGCAGCAGGCGAGGCTTTTCCGAAAGCCGCAGAAGGAGCAGCTGCTCTTTGAAGAACAGCGATTATGCCCATGATAGCACCTGGCTTGAGTGGATTATTCACCAAGGGATCCCCACGTAACAGAGTTTGTAGTAACTCCCCCAATTCTATCCTGACTTCTCTGGGGTCATCAGTGCTCCGGAACCGGAGGCAACTCTGTCCAGAAGACGGGAGCTGAACAAAGGGTGACTTTTAAAGGCTGGTGGGGCTGCAGGCTCTCCTGAAAAGGACCCTGGGAAATGGGGAGGCTCACCCCCACTGAGCCAAGGAAGATTCAGGAGCAACATACAGAATCCCGGTCTCAGCAACTCCAAAAATGTTCTAGGGTCTCAGGCGCAACAGCGTCCAGCAGCCAACCAACGTGGTCAGATGTGGGACTTCAGTGAGGGCTCAGCCCGCAAGGTAGTTTTTTTAAAGCTTCAACTTGGGCTTGGAAACTCCTCCTCCCAAAGGAAGCTGTCTTTTCTCGCTCGTATAAACAATAGGCCGGATTTAAGGTGGAACTTGCTCAAAGTGTGTTGGTGTCAAACTATCCAGAGAAGGCAAGAGAAGCTTATAACCAACGCTGTTCTTTGGTCACTGCCAATTGCCGCCTTCCCTCCCTGCAAACAGCCTCCAGCAACCAAATCCTTTCAGTGGGGCATGACAACTGTCTCCCTGCAACACCATCGCTTTCATGCGCGCAAAGATGACGTTTCAAAGCCCCTCTTCTCTCACCCCTCAGAAAGGTCACTGAACGCGTCTTTTACCCGCTCATCTGATGCTGCAGAGAGAGCCAGCTTCTCACTCGGCCGCCCTAGGGGAGGAACAGAAAGGGTTACCCAGAAGGGCGGAGGAGAGACCCATGCAGAGGTCCTCAGCCATCAAGGCCTGAGCCTTCCCTGCCCACAGCCTGCTTCCTTCTGAGAAGGGGGGGGGGTGTCTCTGGACTGAAAGGGGTGGAGAACCAATTAACAGGGCAGAAACTAAAAACAATGCGAAACAAAAGCACGCCAGGAGAGTGCTCCATAAAGCGGAGAGGGCAGCATTTGTCTCCTAGGGTTTAAACGGCTACCGCCTCCTCCCCACCGGACCCAGAAGGATCCGTTGCCAGCAGGGGAACCCAGAAAGGCCAAGAGCCCCAGAGAGGCAGCCTCAGCACCTGCACCCCAGGTGGGAGACTCTCCATCGCCGCCAGGAGCGACCCTCTTACCTGGGCTACCCGACTGGGGACAGGTCGCTTGGAGCAGGTGCTCCTGCAAGGGGTCTTGCAAGGAAGGCAAACCTTGGCTCTCAGCAACCAGGTTTTCTGCACTGGATGCCGGCAAAGCGGTCCCGCTGTCTTCAGGCTGCTGGCTGGCCACGGCTCTAGCGGTGCTGTGCTGGGGCTGCAGTGACGGAATGGCCGTCCCGGAGTTGTCGGATGCCACCCCATTGCCAATGACATGCTGGGGGGCGTCCTTCAGTTCCCACTGGACGGCCAGGGCACTGTCTACCAGCAGGGTGCTGCAGTCCGAGTCAGTGCTCATGATGTAATTGTGGCCCTCTGCGCAGCCCCACACGGCTCTGATGATCCCACAGTACTTGGAGGACAAGACACTCTGCAGACTTGGTGCCATCGGGCAGTTCTCCGCGTGGCCATGGCTCCACCTTACCAGCTGGTGAAGGCACTGTGGGCTGGAGGTGATCAGGTCTGCAGGGAGAAAAAGAGCCTCCGGTCAAGACCAGCCCGTTCCAGTTACCGCTGCAAGAGCTCATGGGGTGGTCTGGCTTCCCATCTAGGCTTAAGGATAACCTGCCACGTTTGGACTGGGACTGCTGCAGCCGGAGGACTGGCCAACCGCTTCCTCCCCAGGGATGTGCAGTCCCTGCTAGGAAGGTGCTGGATCTCTTCCAGAACTCTCAGCCACACTCCTGCCAAATAACACTGAAAATGGCGCCTGTGGGTTTTCCAGAAGGAAGCAGCCGACCACGGTCTATTTCACACCTGCGTATTTCGCAGGCGTGGTGGGAGGCTCACCTTTACTTTAAAACAGGCAGAAGGCTGCATCAGACCAGGGGGTGGAAGTTTGCGGTCTGATGGTTACGGTCCTACAAGAATCCGCCTTGGGGCAGGCAGGGGGGCTGAAATCCCTGCACTGTCATTCAAGCCCCTTGTGCCTCCTTTTAACGGAAGGGGCGTTTTCTAGAGTTAGCCACATCTGACGTGAAGGGCGCCAGGTAAGAATTTATGATGAGTTCCGTTTCTGACTTTCCTCCTCAGTCCCTTCAAAATGTCTCCTATGAACAACATCTTTGAAAGCCGGTCCAAAAGGCGTCATTTGGGAAATCCTAAAGGCCAGTGCAGATGCTTGTAAGGTAGCCCACCAAGTAAAATCCCCAGCGGGGGCTATTAGCTGCCTTAAGGCTCGAATTGTGGGGAAAAGATCCTCCGGTCAGAAGGGTGTCCTCGCTAGACAAAGGGCGGCCATGCAGATTCACCGTTGGCGTCCGCCTAGGGCACAAGGCCGGTGCTGCTGACCACCCAGCCACAAGGGCCTGCCAAGGAGAAGCAGCAGGCAAAGCCATCCAGAGGAATTCAGCCTCTCACCTACCCAGACAAGGCGCCTCGCCTTCTCCAGCTGACGCCACGGGCACTGAAGGCTGGGCAAGGCTGTTCCTGCACAGGGAAGAGAGACATCAGAGCAGGAAGCTCTGGATCAACGGTGCCCTCCTCAGGCCCAGCCGGCCAACAGGGAGACCCGGAAGGGAAGGCAGCTCAACCTACTTTCCCCGTGGCTTGGGGTGTCCTGCGGGCGAGAGGTTCACCTTCTGGATGAAGGCCTTCAGGATGCTGCGGCACTTGTAGAACTGGGCGTGGCACTTCTTGCACACAAACGGGGGGAGAGACGGGTCTTGCTGGACGGCCACCCCCACCAGCCGCTGGAAGTCTGTGAAGAAGACTTGGTCCAAGCGCCGCTGCTTCTCCGCGTCCTCGCTCAGCACGGGCACCTTCGCGAAGGCGTTTCGCAGGCTCCGCGAGGAGAACTTCCCGTGGCACAGCCGGCAGAAGCCCGTGCTCAAGCCCCGGGGCAGTCCTGCACGGGGGGGGGGGGGGGGGCGGGGGGGGGTTGGTCGGGGGCCCCCCCCCCCCGGCCCCCCCCCCCCCCCCCGCAGGGCCTTTCCACGTTGCCGGCCCCCTCCCCCCATTTCCCGCACGCAAAAGGCCCCTTGCGCGGGGAACAAAGGTCCGGCGCTCAGCGGGCGAAGGGAAGGGGGAGCTGCCGGCTTGAGTCCCCGGACGGCCGTTTCCCCACCGCTCGCCCTGCCGCCACCCCAAGCGGGAGCCGGTTTGGCCGGAAGCCGAGAGGAGAAATCGGAGCTCGCCCGATCCAAAAGCGCCCCCGCGGCCTCTGGGGCCGAACCGGGCCCGCCGCCTTTCATTTCCGGACTTTCATGGGAGCAGCAGCGGCCTCTCGGCCCTGCCCAGCTCGGCGGGGGAAGCGGGCGACACCCACCCGCGGGCCCCGCGTCCAGAAGCGCCTTAGGGATCCTGCAGGCATCCCGGCCACGGAAAGGCCGCCCAAATCCCCGGCCGGTTCGCAACTCCAGCGCGCCGCCGAGGCGCTCCGCCCGCCGCACCCGGGCCTGCCGGGCACCGTCCGCCCCAAACCGAGCGGCAGGCAGGGAGGCTTCGGGGCGGCGCTCGGGAGTGAGCGGCCGGGGACAGCGCCTTTCCAGCGCCCGCCGGCCCGGCGAAGCCGAAGCGGAAGCAGGCGGGGCTCCCCCGGTGGCCTCCCCAGCCCCGGCGCTGCTCGGGGCCGCCTTCCGCAGGCGAAGGCCCGGGCTCTGCTCACCCGGCGCGGCTGCGGCTTCCGAGGGCGGCGAGGCCCAGCTCTTGGGCTCCGGCGCGCTCTTCTCCTCCCGGGCGGCGGCGGAGCGTCCGCGGCGCGTCCGGCTCGCCGAGACTGGCCTGCTGATCTCGGCCGGCGGCGGCGGCGACTCCGACCCGACCCTGGCCGCCAACGCTGCGGGCAAGAACCGGCCCCGCCGATCCCGCTTCATGGCCGCGCAGACGGAGGCCGCCCCGGCCGCTGCTCGGAGCTCCGGCGCCGGTCCCCCCCCCCCCCCCCGTGGCTGGCCCGGCCCGCAGCGCCCCTGGCGGACGGAGGAGCCCGCCCGCCCGCGCCAGCAACGGCGCCGCCCGCGGCCTCCACCCTGAGCCGCCGCGTCCCCGAGCCCCGCCGGGCAGTCCGGCCGCTCCCCTCAAGGCGGTGCCTGGAAGAGCGGCCCGCTCCGGCTCCTCCCGTCCTAGAGCGGCCCCCGCGGGCCCGGAGACTGGGCTCCCCGCCCCGCTGCCCCTCCCCGCTCCAAGTGGGGAAGACTGAGTGGGTGTCCCGGGGGGCCTCCGGGCTGCTGGACCTGGGACCCCTGGCCGGAGCCCATCCCGCGTGTTTGGGCAGGCGGGACTTGGGGACCAGCCGGCCGGTCAGTGCGCACAAACGGCCGAGCTGGGGAGCGGGCCGGGGGGGGGCGCGGGGCCGGGCCTCGGGGCGCCGCGGAGCCCAGGCGGGCTTTCCTGCCATGCGCGGAGCGACCCCCGCCCCGCTCAGAGACGGGGCCGCCGAGCCGCGGCCGGTCACGAGCGAGGGGGCTCCTCCCCCGGGCGGCCTGCCTCCGGGCGCCTGCGGAGCAATGGCGGAGCCGGACCGGCGGGAGCCGCGCCCCTTCTGACCTCACCTGCGCCGGTCCGTCCGGCCCCGTCCGAGCGGCCGCCGCTTCTCGGCGGCGAAGTTCCGGCCCAGCCATGGCGGCCGCGCCCTCCGCCGCCGCCGCAGAGCCGCCGGCGAAACCGCTGCAGGCCGCCATGAAGCTGGCCAAGGCCGCCCTGGAGCTGGACGCCGGAGACCGGCCGCGGGTGAGGGGCGCCGCGGGGACGCGGGCCGGAGCGGGCTGGTCTGCGCGGGGGCCGAGGGGCGACTCCCGCTCCCCTCCTTTCCCGGGAGGCGGCGGGGGAGGCCAGGGGGTCTTCCAGCCCCTCTGCCGCTGCCCCCCCCCCGGGCGTCTCAGGTGCCGCCGGTGTTTTGGCCGCGTTGCCTGGAGAGCCGGCAGGTCCGCATTGAGATTCCGAAGCCCCCTCCCCGCTTCCCGGAAGCGTCGCGGGACAGCCGAAGAGCCGAAGGGCAACCCCGCTTGCCCGCAGAGCCTGCTTGCTCGGGCTGCCCTCCCAGGAAGGGCCCGGTTCTCTGCGCTGGCCTCTTCCGCTGCTTTCAGCCGGTGAAGCCGGTCCGGGTTGGAGTGAGGGCACCGGAGCGAGCCTCTTGCAGCCGGGAGCTAGCCTGGTCCGAAGGAGGCGCTGCCTTTTCACCTGAACTGGTCTCTTGGCAGGAAGCCTACGTGGAATACCTGAGGAGCATCAGCCACATCGCCCAGGTTCTGCTGGAAGAGGCGGCAGCCACGACTGGTAACCCCTGATTCCCCCCCCCCACCTTCCCCACCCAGGAAGAGCCGGGCTCCTTTGCAGCAGAGGTTCCTTTGGGGAAGGGAAGCTCTGGTGTCTTTGGAGTAATACAACAAAGGCATGTAAACCGCCCTTCTGAGTGGGCCGTTCTGACAAGTGACCCTGACAAGGTGAAATAATGCCCCAATCATTTCCTTTGGAGCTGCAGTGCCTGGCCCGTCCCTTCTCAAGCCTCTCTCTCTCTCTCTCTGACACCCACCCACCCACACCCACCCACCGACCCACCCACGCTCTCCTAGGTGATGAAGCTGCTCCAAGAAAGGATGTTGTGCAGGTCAGGATGACAGGACAGCCCATTAGACCCTGTCTTTCTCACCCTTGGCAGCTTAAAGATATTGGACTTCAATTCCCAGAATTCCCCATCCATCCATCCATCCATCCAGAGCGGGGAATCCTGGCAGATGAAGTCTACATGTCTTAAAGTCCTTCAAGTTGAGAAATGCCGCGTCTGCTGTCCTTGGGGAAGGAACGATGGGCAAAAACCGCTTTTCCTGGAGCTGGGTGATCCCACCGGGGGAAGGGACCTAGAGGGGCTAAATCCTGACAGACGGAGGGGAAAAGTGGTTGGCACCGAGCTCTCGTGGAAGTCTTTTTTGAGGTGGGCTTTGCATCCCCTTGTAATTGGACAGACACAATCACGCATTCCTTGTCCTGAAGGAGATGAAAATGACCTGGCGCCGGACACTCCCAAGATGCTCAAGGTAGCAGAACAGTGCCTGGAGAGAGCCAAGAGCAGCGTCTCTAAAATAGGTGAGGACTCTTTTTATAAGCGGCATCCCCCCCCCTTTCACCAAGCGGAATAAAAGGAGGCGGTCTTCTTCGTTTCAATGGGACCCCGTCAAAAGTTGAGTCCAGGCAGAAAAGTGACCATTGGCCTCACAGCTTAGAAGGGGCTTCCTCTCTAGGTGGTGATTTTAGACTGAAGTTTCTGTTAGGTCAGGGGTCTCCAAACCTGGCAACTTTAAGACATGGAAACTTCCAATTCCAGAATTCTGGGAGTTGAAGTTCCCACGTCTGAAAGTTGCCAGGTTTGGAGACCGTTGCTTTAAGTCACCATAGGCCCTCCTGGTGCCTCCCCTGAGCCCTTCCTGTCATTTTCTTGGCAATGGTGTTTGATTGCTTTCCTCCAGGGAGGTTTTCCCATTTTCCAGACTAGCCTTATGTCCTTTGAGTGTCCTCTTGATCTCCTGTCTAATTGCTAACCAGGTCTGAGCCTACTCAGCTTCCCAAGACTGGCCCCAACTGGCTTGGAAGGCACCCAGTGTTGATAGGCGGGTGCCCGATGCGTGTGAGGCTGAAGCCCCTGTGCTGCCTCATCCGTGGAATGTGCTCTGGGCTTTCACGCCAAGGTTGGGAGCTCGGTTTGGCCATTGGCCCTGGTGTTTGTCCTCCTGGCTGCCTGGTGCACAGTCCTCTTCCTTGGACTCTGCTCTCTGGCGCACAGCTTTGGCCTGTTTTGCCTCTCTGTGAGTCTGGAGATGTTTGCTTTGACTGTGACGGGGCTTCGTCTGTGTTGTTCTTCGCCCCCCAATTCCAGGAAAGGCCAAGGCCAAGCTGGTGGGGAAGAAGGTGGGCCCTGCTCCGGTTTCTCGGCACCGCAGAGTCTCCTCTGATGAAGGCAGGAAGCTGTCCCCCTTCCTGCCTCCCGAGATGTTCCAAAAGCTGCAGGTCACCCAAGTGCAGAGCCCCAGGAAGTAAGAGGGAGCTGCGGGGGGCCTTTGGGCGCTGGGTGGCCGGACCCTCGAGCTGCTGCCTGGAGCTGGCCCAGGTGACACAGCCCCCCAAGGAGCTGCTGCTGATGCTGCCGCTTCTTCTGCAGCAGAGAGCTGAGCCCCCTGGAAGAGGCGTCCCTGCAAAACCAGAAGCTGAGAGCTACCTACGAGGCCCGGCTGGCCCGGCTGAACCCCAGCCAGGCGGTGCAGAAGACCTCTCTGGCAAGTGGGGCTGGCTGGGAAGGGGACAGGGCCCTGGGGTCCCACGTGAGCCAGGCAATATGGCCCACACATTTGGGGACGGGGGACGGGGCGGGAGCCCTCTTTGCCCAAGAGCTGAGGTGAAGCTGTGCTCCCCCTTTCAAAGAAGGATTGGATGGGGGGGTGGGGGGGGGGGGGGGTGGGTAGACGGCCCTTTCCCTCGTCCTCCGTCCAGTCCTGGGCTTTACTGCTGATTTTGGCTCCACAGACGCTTTCTCTGCAACGTCAGATGATGGAGAATTTGGTGATTGCGAAAGCCCGGGAAGAGGCCGTATCCTTTCTGGCTCTTCGGCTGGCAAACCCACAGGAGTTCAGTCCTGGGATTCCCTGGTGGTCTCCCGTCCCAGATCCCCATCCTGCTTCACTTTGGGGGGAGTGGGGGGCGGGACTCCACCCCCAATTTCTCTTCGGCTGTCCCTGCAGCCAGCTGCTCCTTTGTCACTTCGGCCCCTGTTTCTTTGCTGCCTGGCCAGAGGAGCCAGGGTGGGGGCTGCCTGGGGGAATCTGAAGCCTTGCTGGGGAGGACCTTGACTCTGGCCCCCTCCAGCTCCAGAGAAAGATGGAGGAGCATCGGCTGCGGCTGCAGGAAGCTGCCAACAGGCAAGTCAGCTGGGCCTGGGATGCTTTGCCGCCCCCCTTTTCTCCATCCATGGGTGGGGCGGGAGGGGGCCCAGCGGCTCCTCTGAGCCCGTGCTCCTCCTCCTCCTCTTAGGAGGTTCTCCAGCAATGCGGTGCTGACCCCGGAAGAGCAGGAGCAGCGCGCCATCTACGCGGCCATCCTGGAGTATGAGCAGGACCACGTATGTAAGGAGGCTCCGGGCTTGACCACGTCAAAGATGGGGTGTGCAAAAGCCCCCAAGAAGCAGGCAGGGGGGGAATGAGAAGGGCCGAGGGAAGGGGGGGGGGGGGGGGACACGACTGTAGCTCAGTATTCTCTGCTCTCCCCTCCGCTAGGACTGGCCCAGGTTGTGGAAGGCCCAGCTGAAAGAGCACCCCGGCGATCCGTCCTTGGTGCCAAAGCTTCTCTCGCACCTGCTCAGGTAGGGAGGTGGGGAGTGTGGAGGGCTTTGCTTTCATCTGCAAGGGGCCTTCAGGCAAAAGGCGCAGTCGCCCAGTGGGGATGAAACCGGGGTGGGGGCAGCCACCGGGTCAAGACCTCCAGGGGGTCCCTTCTCCCTTAGCGGACTTGAGTTGGCCTGGAGGGGCAGAAGCCAGCTCCCCCCCCCCACGGACCAGTCCCTGCAGAGGGAGCCGGGAGGCGGGCTGGGGGGTTCCTGCTGCCCAGTTTCCCCTGGGGGCGGAGCCCAGGCAGGTTCGGTAACGGCCCCTTCCTTGATTCCAGCTTTGCGGATCACCCCATCTGTCAGTTGCTGAAGAAGCTGCAGTGCTCGGCCTACAACCGCCTTTATCCTCTCCTCAGCCAAAGCAGGACAGGCGCCTCGCGCGGTTGGTCCCTCTCCTCCTCGCTGGACGCCGAGGCCTTCCTGCCATCAGCCCCCGAGGGACGGAGGCTGCGCTCCTCCCAAAGCCTGCACTCCATGTTTTCTGTCCAGGAACACAATAAGCTGAACCTCCGTCACAGCATCTCTGGCACCCCCTTCATTGAGGACCAGAGCCTGTCGCCTCCCCCCCCCGAAGGATGTGGGTCCCCCCCCCTGGCTGACCGGGAGAGCTCCTTCGAGGACCTGGAGCAGTTTCTGTCAGCTGCTGAGGCCTGGCCGGAAGGGCCCCTGCGAAGCCCTCTGGCTGGGAAGAAGGGCTCCCGGCAGGAGGCCCTCAAGGCAGTCGTGAAGGACATCCACAACGCCATCGGTGGGCTCCCACCGGGGCTGCACCGCTGGCGGGCGGGCAGGGGGCAGGGATCAAGCTTGTCGCTGCTGCAGGCCAATCCGTGGGAGTGGGGGAGGGCCGCGCTTCTCCTTCCTAGGCTCGCATTGATGGAGCTGGGTGGCTTCCCTTCTGCAGACCGGCTGCTGTCCCTGACGCTGCTGGCTTTCGAAGGCCTCAACATGGTGGCTGCCAAGGACCAGTGCCTGGCGCAGCTGGAGGAAGCCTTCTTTGGCCCACTCTGGGGGCCCCTCCTGACCGTCTACAGGTGGGACTGGGGACACGCACACCGGCGACCCCTGCCCTCTGGATGGGAGGGGGCTGTGGAAAGGGGGGGGGAGTTGAGTTGACTGGTGTGTGGGCCAAGGAAAGCGTGGGAGCCTGCTCAGCCCCCTCGCCTGCCTGCCTGCCTTCCCTCCAGGACCGTCTACAGGGCCCAGGAAGAGGCTCTCTCCAGGAGCATGGAGCTGCGCCAGAAGGCCTCTCCCACGGAGATGGGCATCCCCTCCAAGCTGCTGCCCAAGGCAGGAGGGGCTCCCCCCTACGCTGCGGCTGTGCAGGAGCTGCTCCTCCTCCCTCTCAGCAGCTGCCCGCAGAAGAAGCTGGAGTGCATCGGTGAGGCCTGGCTGGCAGCTGCGGCCCAAGGAGGCCGCACTGGGAGGGCAGGGGGAGCTTTAGGAATGCCACACTTGGCTCCAGGCAGCACTTGGGGGAGGGGCCAGAGCTTCCCCAGGGAACCCTGGACTTCCTCCTGATTGGGAGGGAGGGAGGGAGGGAGGGGCCAGAGGTCCCAGCTTGGCGGGGGTTGCAAAGGCCCTGGAAGTCGCGGCCCTCCTTCCTGCCCTTCGGCCAGAGGAGAGCTGCCCTGAGAGGCGCTGGTGGGAATTGGGGGGACGAAGGGAAGCGGCCAGGGCAGAGCGCTGAGTGCCTGTCTCCCCCCCCCCCCACAGTGAGGACCTTGCGCATCATCTGTGAATGTGCGGAGGAATACTGTGGGAGCCGACTCCAACCGGCATCCGCCGCTATGTGAGTACTTGACCACAGCGCCTATCCCGACGGGGTGCCTGGCTCTGAAGCCGCCTCTGCCACTCCCTGGGGGCGCTCTGGGCAGGCCCTGCCCCGAAGGCTCCGGCCTCTCCCAGCACGGCCGGCTGCTGAGCCGAGGAGCCAGGCTTGACGCGTCCCCCCCTCCCCTTGCAGCGGGGCCGACGACCTCCTGCCCATCCTGTCCTTCGTGGTGCTCCAGAGCCGCTCGCCTCAGCTGGTCTCCGAGTGTGCCGCCCTGGAAGAGTTCATCCACGAAGGGTAGGCATGGCAAGCGCTCAGTCCCCTCCGCAGCGCCCAGGGCGGCGGGTGTGTGTGTGTGTGTGTGTGCTGGCTCTGCCCTCCGCCTGCTCGCTTTTCAGTGGGGCTGCCCCCTTGCCAGGCACCCGACTCCCCGCCCCCCCCTCGGCCACTTCCCTGGGCCCAAGTGGCCGTTGCTGCTCCTCTGCACGCGGAGAGAGAGGATGGGGTGGGAGGGGCTTTCCAGGGGAGGGGAGGGGAGGGGCGACGCTGCTCTCCTCCCTTCAGGCTGACCGGATCCCTCCTTTCTCCCAGGTCCCTGATTGGGGAAGAGGGCTACTGCCTGACCTCCCTGCAGAGCGCCCTCTCCTACGTGCAGAGCCTGCAGGGGGGCCCCGTGTTCCGGAAGTAGCAGAGCTGCTGGTGGGGGTGGGCTGCCCCCCCCCCGCCTCACTTAGGATCCCTCCCGGCTCGCTGCTCCCCAGGGATGCTTTTTGGAGGACTGCCAAAGGGAAACGGAGCAGCCGGCCCTCCCAGGGCTACTATTGCACAATACTTGGCGGGGTGGGGGGGCGTGCAGGCAAACTTTGGTGTTAACCCAGCATTGACCAGCCTCTGCCCCCCCTGCCCCCCCCCCCGGAGGCCTTCTGGCCCTCTGGCTTCCGTCCTGGTGTGTTGCAAGGCGTCTAGCTGTCCCCACATCCTAATGGCTGAGCCTGCCTTTGCTTCTCTGCCTTGAGCACGGAAAACGAGGGAGGGGCTGCATCTCAGTTCCCCACATTAACACTAAGAGTTGCAGTAGCCCCCTCCCCCCCCGCCCCGCTTCTCTCAGCTGCAAGGCAAGCCAGCCATCCTGGACCCTGGCAGCCTCTTCCTTGGAGCCTGCTGGCCCGCCATGCGCTCTCCCCCTGCCCTGCATGGCCCCCTCCTCTCTGGCAGCAGCCGCTTCAACCTGGGGCTGTGGCCCACCCTGGGGCCGTGGTTCCCTTGCCTCTGCCGGGCCTTTCATTGGGTAAAGGGAAGGAGACGGGTGGGCCTGGCTGGGTCTTCCTTGCATTAGTTGGGTCTTCAGGAAGGGGAAGCCGGACTGTGCGCATCCTCTACTGATGCAGAGGGGGGGGGGGCGGCAGAATCTGCACAAGCCTCTCGAGCTGTGGGGCCAAGGAGGAGTGCAGAGTGCAGCTGGGCAGGGGGGGGGGCTTCTGGGGGTCCTGGGAGGCGTGATAGGAAGCAGGGGCTCCCTTGAAATTCAGCCCCCCCCCCAGCGTCCGTCTCCTCCTGGGTGGGGCCCCTTCGCGTCCCTGCCTGACCGTCCACGGACTTCCAGCCTCCCTCCTGGCAGCTCGTTGGAATAAAGCTCCTTCTGCCTGCTCAGCCGGTTGTGCTTCTTGGGGGGGGGGGGGGGCGTTTGGGCCGCTGGGGCCCCGCACTGCGCCAGTAGCCCAGCCAGCCCCGGAGGAGGCTTCCCTGCGGGGGTCTTCTGGATATGGAGGCCGCCCGGAAGCTCGCTGGCTCCCGCAGAGACGAGGGCTGAAGCGGGGGGTGGGGGACGTTTGGGGGCGCGCGGAGGAGAAGCGGTGCCCCCTCTGCAACCAGGCACGAGGAGGCTCCGGGCGGACCACGACGCAGGGCGACCCCGGCAGGGAGAGGAGCTCGGCGGCAGCGTGTGAAGGAGCCGACACGCGTGTTCCGAAAGGCGGGGGGGGGGCCTTTCCCCGCTTGGGGACCCTCCGCTGTTGCTCCCGCAGCTGCGCCCTCCTCGGCCGGCGGGGCAGGGGGCGGGGTCTGGGAGCGGAGCCCGCCCCCCGAGGCGCTCGCGCCGCCAGCGCCGCCCCCGGCAGCAGCGGAGTCCCCGCCCCTCCCTGTGACGCCCCTCCCGCGTGGGCGGGGCCGGAAGCGGCGGGGCGCCGGAGCGGGAGCGGCGGAGCGCCGAGGGGGCGCCGGCAGGTGAGCGGCGGGGCGCGAGTTCGAATCCCAACCGGCGGACCCGCCGCGGCGGCGCTTCCCCCCAACCCGAGCCCCGCCCCTCCCGCAGGGCTCCAGGCCGCCTCGCCCGCCCGCCCGCCCTGCTTCGGGGCGGCGGCGGCGGGGCTGGCGGGGGTCTCGTGCCGGGCGGGGGCTGCCCTCCAACGAGCCGCCGGGTCCCACCGCCCGTCGGCGCCTGGCAGCGGCCCCGGCAACCCCCTTTGTTGCGGGGGCTGCTCCGTCCCTGGCCTGCTCGGCGGCCCCTCCGCGCCCGAAGCGGCCCAGTTGCGGCCGACGGCCCAGGCTCCCCCGGCGCTCCCCAGCGAGGCCGAGCGGGGACGAGGCGGCGGCGGCGGCCCCCCTCCGGGCGCCTGGCAGGAGGCAGAGGCGGCTGCCTCTTCCCGGCGGCAGGATGGAGGCCGGGCCGGGCCTGCAGGAGGAGTACCGCCGGTGCCTGGAGAGGGACTTCCGCAGGGGCCACGTGGGGCCCTGCAGCGACGCCTCCCTGAAGGACCTGCTGTGGCATCACCTGCTGGAGGACCCGGAGCTGCACTGCAGCCTGGATGGGGAGGACACCTTGGCCACGCTGGCCACCGCCCTGCGGGGACACCTGGACGCCAAAGGGGCCCTGCGGGACCTGGCCAGGGCCTTCGAAGTGCTGGAGCTGGCGGCCGTCAACCTGTACTTCTTCCCCTGGCGCAAAGAGTTTGCCACCATCAAGGTGAGCCCTGGTTGGGGCTGGGGGGGGGGGCAAGGGGGTCCCGGGAAGCCTCGGGAGCTGACGGGCGGCTTTCTTTGCAGACCTTCTCCGGGGTCTACGTCCACGTCCTTCAGGGGGTCCTGCCAGAGGCCGACCTTGCCCGGAGCTTCCGCCGACTGGGCTACGTACAGCAAGACCGCCTCCACCTGGTGAATTCTCGACTGCCGCCGAGCGCCAACCTGCTCTGTGCAGCCTGCTGCTTCTTTGCGGCCAGGGTGGAGTGCCAGATCCTGGCGAAAATTGTGGAGGAATTGGAGCCGCGGGTGGTGCCGCCCGATGAGCTGCTGAGGGCCCGGAAGGAGGCCAGGGGCAGCCTGGAGCGGTGCGTGGCCAAGCTGCAGAGCCTGACACGGTGGCCACGGAGCCGCGAAGTTCGCTCAGACCTGGCCGGCGGGTTCGATCTCTACCGGGAGAGCGCTGAGGGGCACGGCTTCTACAGGGAGCCTGCAGGCAGTCGGCTCTGGGGCCAGGAAACCTCCTCCTCCTCCCTCAGCGAGTGCGGCAGCCCCCGGCTCCTAAGGCGGAGCCCCCAGCCACTGGCAGAGTGCCGGAGCGAGCCCCCCTGGAGCCGGGAGTCTTCCTGTGGCAATGGAGTCCTGGGCTCAGACGCGCCCGACCTGGCCACCTCCTTCTCCTTCATCTCCTTGAGGCGGGAGCTCAGCAGGACCTCTGAGGCGGACTTTCCTGCTCAGCTGGGGAGTCCGTTCCTCTTCTCGGGTCTGGGGGGCTATGAGAGTTCCGACCCCCCCTCGCAGGCGACCAGCAGCCCGGCCTCTCCTCCGTCCAGGCAGCCCAGGAGCCTCCACCTCAGCCCGGCCAGCCTGCACAGCAGCCCTCAGGGACTGAGCCCCGAGCCGGCCCACTACCAGATGCACTCCTGCCTGCTCCCGGGGGCCCTGCCCGGCTCCTGCTGCAACACCTGCCGGCTGCTGCACGTCAGCAGCTGCGATGGGGCCCAAGTCTGCCGGAACCGCCACCACCTCGTGGAAGAGCTGCAGAGCGAGAAGCAGCAGCGCCTGTGGCTGCAACGGACAGAGGTGGACAGGCTGCTGCGGGAGGGGGCGGGGCCCTGGCAGTAGGACCGGCGACGCCCTGCGAGGTCACCAAACCTGCTTTCCCCCTCTGGCTGGGGGGAGGGGGGGCAGAGTCCAAAGCGGCCAAGCCCCTCCCCCCCTTCTAACAGAACGGAGCTGGACAGAGGACTGGAGATGGGATGGCTTTGCCCGGCTTCAGTGAAGGGCCGAGTCCAGCACCCATGAAGTCTGCAGGTGGCAGGTGGGGAGCAGACCTGCCAGGAACCCTGATTTCTAGGGCTGGGATTGTGGGTTTCTGGGTGCCCGTCTCATCAGGGAAGGCCTCCTTTGCCTGTTCCGGGATTTGGGTGGCCCGAGGCTGCTCTAGCTTGTCCTGTGAGCTCCTGCGTACGGTGGGGGCCAGAGAAGAGCCTCCTGCTCAAGCCCCCAGTCAGGGAGGAACCGCGGGCAGCATTTACAAAACCGGAAGGGGCCCCGTGATGGCAGTCACTTTGCTGATGTTTCTCATGAAAGATGCAGTTGTAATAAACATACCTGAAAGCTACCTGGCTTACTGGATCTCTGGACACCCTCCCACTGTCTGCCCTTCTTGGCTCTCAGCACCTCCCATTAAAGGGCTGAAAGAGGCTCACTTGGAGCTGCCTAGAGCAGGAACGGCCACCCAGGTTCTCTGGTGGCAGCTGCAGGGTCACCTCCTGGTCCCAGAATGAGCTCGGGTGCCACTTTGGGTGGCCGTGGCAAGCAAGGCCCTCTGGCGGACGGGCTCAGGGAGGGAGAGCTCCTTGCTGCTGCCTGTGGGCAGGGGAGGTGGGGGCTTCCGCTTGTAAGTCGCACGGCTGCCAGAGTTTCATCCTCGGAAGCAGAAAGGCCTTGAGGCAGCGGGTGGTGTGTGTACCTGTGTCTTTGCGCAGGAGGAGCGTAGCTGGAACAGGGAATCTCTTCCACCCCCAAATAATCTATGTACAGCCTAGGGGCAGGCAGGCAGCTGGAGCTGCACCCCACGCAGCGGGAGCACAGAGGGTGGGGAGGGCAAAGCAGCATCAAACGCCCCCCCCCCCCATCATCTCCCACAGGTGCCACTTGGGGCCCGGGCATCGCTTATCCCACTACTGACAAGGCGCCCAGCAATCCTCAGGCTGGAAGAAAAGTCTTTATTGAAACCCAGCCCCTCCTTCCGAAGCGGTCAGCTGCCCAGCTCGTGCCACCTAACAGCCGGGGGGAGAAGCAGCTCCTGGGAAGGGTCCAAGCCTCCGGCGCCTGGGCCCGGGGGGGGGGGGGGGGGGGGGGGGCGGCGGCGGCTGGTGCTTCCCACCTGCCTTTAAGTTGCGGCTGTTTTGAAAATGTTGCAGGCCCTGAAGTTTGCTCCTTTCTTGGCTGCTCCAGCAGGAAAGCTCTGCTTGTTCTTCCAGCATCCGGAGCACCTGCTTGCTTTGGACAGAGCTGAGGAGAGCGGAAAAGCCCACGCTGGCAGCAGAATCCGGGCGGGCTGGTTCTGGGAGGCTCAGGCAAGGACCGAGGATCCTCTCCGGTGCAGAGAGGAGGAGGCGGAGGCGGGTGGCGCTTTGCTCCCCACGTGAGTCTCCCTGGGGAGCAAGAGGGTCCTGGACATGCAGCCGTTTCCCTCCAGCTAGGATCTGCATCGCTGGGCCGTCTCCAGCCCCTGAGCCTCCTCAGGAGAAGCACTTGGCAGAAAGCTGGCAGGGGTGAAAGGAGGCAGAGACAGGAAAAGGGAGGACTGATTGTGGTGGGGGAGATGACACATACCCCCCCCCCTTCTTCAAAAAGACATTCCACATTGGGTCTTTTGAAAAGCGAGGAAACGGAATGAGCTGTTTAAGGAAATGCAGAATTATATGCAGATTTAACCCACACAACAGCTTACAAAAAGGCACTTTTTCATCTAGGGCTTTTTTAATGGAACAACCAACCTGATCTGACCTGCTTTTGCTGTCTGTGTTGGCGCAAATATCCCTGAAAATACCACGGGTGCAGAAACCCACCAGGCGCCCGTTCTTTCATGAGCCTGTCCTACCTTCGGGGTGCCCTGAGAAGCTGCCACCTCAGGGCCGGCTACGTTTGCCCAGGCACTCTCCTCCCGTGCTCGGGGCGGCCCTCTTGTTGCGATGATGGGGAAAAGTTGGCATCAGCTCCGGTTCGCAGGCTGGAAGGAAGGAGGGGAAAGGGATCAGGCCCAAGAGGAGGAGGAGGAGGTGGTCCCGCTTGCAGGAAAGGGGCCCGGGGGGCCACTTACGCCACGGCTTTTCCTTGAAGTAAGAGCTCTCCAAGCAGTCTCCGGCCGTGGCTCTGTGGAGGAGACGTGGCAGTGAAGGAGCCGTCCCTTTTTGTCGTCCCCTTGCCAAGCCTAAGCCGCCGCCCCGTTCTGAGAAACCAGCCGGGACTTCCCTGGGGGGCAGCTGCTCCTGTGAAAGAAGCTGGGGGCTGGTTCTCAGCTCAGCTGGGCAGCCGGGAGTCCGTGCTGGGAGGGAGGAGGCAGAGTTGCGCCCCCCAGAAGGATCCGGGGCAGGTGAAGGCCGCCTACCTTTTATTCGGATCGTACATGAAGAGCAAGTTCAGGAGGCGAAGGCCGGCCTCGGACAGCCAGGCGAACTTGTGCTTTAGGTTGTTGTAGGGCTGCTTGCGGAGGGTGTATTGGCTCACCAGGGGCAGCTTGGAGAAACCCTGGAAAAGGGGAAGCAAACATTTGGCTGCCTCCTGCAGCTTAACTCCCAGAATTCCCCAGCCAGCATGCTAAAGCAAAGCCAAACCCACTGAGGTGGGAATTCTGGTTTTCATTGTGCACAGCGGAGCAGTGGACGGAAAGGACTCACGGGCCAGATGGTCTCGTTTGGAGTGCCCAACAGCTGCACAATCAGGTCAACCTGTTGTATCTCAGAGCTCCCAGGCAGCAGAGGCTTATGGGCCAGCAATTCCGCCAAGATGCAGCCCACCGCCCTGCAGGGCAGACGCAGAGTTAGAGGTGAGACCACCAGCCAGCAACACACACACGGGCACACACTGCTTTGCTCCTTCAGAGTCTTGCAATGCAGCCCTGCAGAAAAGCCGTTGCCCACCTCCCCACCCCGCAAGCTGGAGCCCACCCAGCGCTCGAGGTTGGAGTCCGTTTTTCCTCACCACATGTCAATGGCCGTGGTCTGCGTGGTTGTGCCTAGGAGGAGCTCGGGGGCCCGGTACCTGCAAGGGGAAGGAAAGAGTGACGGTGCTCAGGGTCACCCAACGCCCAGCCGGCTTGTATCGGAAGGGGGTCAGCAGTGCCCTCCAGGGAGGGGGTGTTTCCAGCCAACTCACCACAGCGTCACCACTTTTGGAGTCATGGGATTCAGGGGGACCCTGTAGGCACGAGCCAGCCCAAAGTCCGCTGCAAGAGAAGATGCCCAGAGAGGTCAGGTGACTTGCTGTTTTAAGTCTCCAGTAGCTGAGTTGAGCACGTGGCACCTGCGATGCTATAGCCAAAGACTCACCTGTCTTCACGCAACCTTTGTCAGTCATGAGCAAGTTGGACACCTTGAGGTCCCTGTAGTTGACAAAACACAGGTATGTAGAAGGCTGGGGGGGCTGGGCAGTGCCAGCGCCCACCCCTGCTTGACCCATCCCTGCCCTTCTCACCTATGGATGATGAAGTTGCTGTGCAGGTATTGAAGACCATGGAGAACCTGGAGAACGATGCACTTCACCTGCAGGGAGGCGGGCAAACGGGAGCATCCCTAGAGGGCCTCCCACCTCCCACATTGTGCCAGTCACCCTGTCCAGCACAAAGCAAACCATGTTTTGGAATGCGTGAACAGATTAGGCCCATTCGGACAAAGCAAGTCCCACGTCAATTTACCAGGCTGGGCCTTAACACCCCTCCCCCCCCCAGAGGCTGCCCTGCATTGTAGTCCTTGGGGCATCAAGTGAATTTTAAAAGGGGGCTCTTCAGATCCAACTGTTTTTGTATTTTATCCCCCTTTTGAAAGCTCGGGCCCTTGCCAGTGTGCCTTGCTTAGGCTGGAGCATACACCTCCTTGCTCTTTAGCCCCAGTTTTGGGATAGCTATTTGGGGTGAAAGTTCTTCCCCAAGACCCTCCGGCCTCTCCTCCCCTGTGGCATGGCGACCACCACAAGCAAAGCACAACCGCTGTACCTGCCCTGCAGACACACCTGGGCTTCGGAGAAGGGAGCCTGCATGTTCTCCAGGAGGCTGGCCAGGTCCTGCTCACAGTAGCCCATCACCAGGAAAATGCTGTGGGGGGCAATCGGAGGCAGGCCTGTTTCTTGCTGCAGCCAGGAAAGGAATCCTGCCCTGGGAGACCTCAGGAGAGGCCTGTTTCTTCTGCCCAGAGAGGGAAGGAGAATCCCCACCCTTTGCTCCCACCTTCACACCCCACTTTCTGCTAATGCTTCCCCCCCCTCACCTGCTGCCCTCCCAGCTCAGGGCAGAGCGCACTTTCTCCTGGCTCTTGTCCACCTGCCCAGGGAATTACCTCTCCAGGTGGTTGCCCACCACCACCTCCTTCAGCTCCACGATGTTAGGGTGCTGGAGCTTCAGCAGCAGGGTGATTTCTCGCAGGCTGCTGATGGGGATTCCTGGGGGGGGGGAGAGGACCCAGCTAAGAGGGGGGCCGCCGGGCTGCTCCCCAAGCCGGGCCTGCAAGGAGCCCGCTCTTCTCACCGTCTTTTTCTTTGTCCATCCGTACTTTCTTCAGAGCCACAATCTCACCTGTCTGCGTATCTCGGGCGCGATCTGAAACAGCAGAGCAACCAAAGCTGCAGCCCTCTCTCTCCTCCTGGTCCCACCAGGCAATTTCACAGAGGAACGACTGTAACACACGCACACGCACGCACACACCCTCCCCCCTGAAGCTGCCTATTATTTAGGTGGCTCTGTCTGCCACATCCCTCGGTTGTGTTGCCACTTGGAGCTGCCCTCCTTCCCAGAGATTTGGGCTCCCAGGTAACATCCCAAGCCCGGAAGAGCTGGAGGCATTTGGGTGGGGGGGATTCTGAAGCCTGTCCAGGCTCGGCCGGGTCACCCAGGGCGGGCCCTCCCCAACCACTACCCAGCCCGGCGGGCAGATTCCCCAGGCGGGACTCACACACGATGCCATAGGTGCCTTCTCCGATCCGGTTGAGCTTCTCAAACTCCTTGACGCTCCGGCATCTTCCCAGCTGAAAGGAGAGCTGGTGAGAAGCCTCTTTCGCTGCCCCGGGGGCGGGGGGCGGGGGGCGGGGGGGGGGGGGGGGGGCGCTCCGGCCCAGCTGCAGCACCGACCAAGCGGCCGCCCGGCAGGTGAGCGCGGACTACGTAGCGCAGCCCGGGCGGGCGCTGGGCAGGAGGGCTGAGCCGGGGAGCGCGAAGGGCGCCCTGGCAGTGAGACTCCGCTCACCCGGTGTGCAGCCGGCACCGCGAAGAAGCCGCCGTGCAGCCGCTTCAGGCGCAGAGGCTCGGGCTCTTGCTCCGCCATGCTCTTCTCTCTGCCGCCTCCCCCCGCTTCCGCACAGGCCTGCTGGAAGGGGCGGGCCGAGAAAGGCTGCTGGGTCGCCCTTGCCCGGCCCCGCCTGGAGGGGTCGCTCCGTTCCCTGCCGCTGAGACTGCCCGCTCTTCTCCCCAAAGGGGCGATTGGTTGGCACCTGGGCAGCCCCTTAGCCTGGGCAGTTGGACGGCGAGGGCTTCTCTTTCAGAGGCAGGCATCGCCCCCCACCCCATAAGGCGGTGGGCCTGTCCCTTCCTTCCTCAACAGCAGGGACCACCTCTTGATCCCACTTCACTCCCCCGTCCCAGCGCAGCCCTCAGGTGGGAACGCTAAGAAGCCCCTTACTCCCTTTAGGAGGTGTAGAAACACTACAAGTAGGACCGCACGGAAATTATATTGCCAACATTGATTTATCTGTGCAAGTACAGATGTTATTGACTCAGTCATTTAACAAACACATTTATTTGGAAGAGATGTTACAGCTCCCTCATTTACCTCTGCGTTGCCATTCCTCCTTCTCTTCCCCCACCTCCAAATGTGGCCATGAAAGTGGCGGGCAGGATCCAGCTGCCAGTCTCCTGACCGACTCTCTCATGCCAAGCACAGTGGGCAGCATTGACTGGCCTTGGCTCTTCCGATAACCCTAACCTTAAGAGGGAGGTGCTAAAAGCTGCCCAATGGACACCTCACATTCTGTGGGAGAATTTCCTGGGTTCCAAGGAAAGAAAATGCAAACAGCTGCTTGGGAAGAAGTTTATCTATTTTATTTGGGTCTGAAATTGTACAAACCTTGTTTCTAGGACAGCTGACAACAGACTGGCACATCAGCAAGGTTTATATACATTTTTTAGCCTTTGGTGTGAGAGAAATATGTTTTTATAACCACAAGAAAGCAGGAAATAGTTATTATAGTTAGGGGAAATATTCTGTTATCTTCGTTACCAGCAGAGACTTTAATAACTGCATAAAATTCACCATTGGAGGGAGGCCTCTCATTTCAGCCAAATGCGAAAGGCACCGTATTGGATTAGGATCTTTGTTTCTCTCCTCCAAAGTTACAGGCCGATTTTAAAGGCAGTTCTTAAATTCCATACACCTCCTCCACTCCCTTTGCAGATGCAAAGCAACCAAAAAGCTTGTCGCCTGGCCTGCAGGCCCTCTCGGATTCCCACATAGGCAACCATTGTTGACCCTGAGCCCTCACGGGTTGGCCATGCGCTCAGATGCGTGTCTGGGGAGTGCAGATACTCGCATTGGGGTGCGGAAAGCAGGTGTGGCAACCGGCCTAAGAGGACCGGACTGCAAAACCCATCATCCCCAATAGCGCTGCCTGGGCATTGTATAGTTGCAGCCTTAATCCCAGGGGAAGATGCTTAATTCATATTTTTTACGGCCCGAGAATTTAAAGGAGCGCCTCTTTAATTAATAATTAATAAAATAAAACCGGGACGAAGGCGGGCTCTGAGCGCAGCAACATCCGGGCTCTTTGTTGCCGCGGCAACCGTGGCCGCCTTGTGAAGAGGCACGTGAGCCTTTTGTTTCCGTCTCCGTCTAGGCAGGATGACGCATGCGCCTCCCGAGGTCCCTCCTCCAGAGCAGAAGGAAGCCGGAAGTGAGCGTCTCCGGAACCCGGAAGTCCTGGCAGGAAAAGGCGAGCGGGGACTTCAGCCGGGATGGACGGTGAGGGGCTGGACGGGGGGAGTCGGGTTGGGGACGCCGGGTCCCCTCATCTCAGCTGCGGCTGACTGGAGACGAGTCCGGCCCTTCGGGAGCCGTGGGAGGGGGGCGGAGGGGGTCCGCTCCGGGAGGCTCCAGGCGCGGCGTTCCCTCCTTCGTCCCGCCAAGGAGAAGCCAGGAAGTGGCCGGGGGAGGAGGAGGAGAAAGAGGGCGGGCGGGGGGCCCAGAGGTCGGGGCTGGCACCGGGGAGACTCCGCTCCGGAAGCCCCTGGGAGGACCCAGCGCTGGCAGGCAGAGGAGGGGCTGCTGGGCGGCCCACCTGGAGCCCCGGGAGAAAAGGGGAGACGAGGAGCAAGCAGGCAGAGACGGAAAACGGAGAGGTTGGACTTGGGCAGGAGGGGCTCCTCGGGGGGCCCGGATTCACCTTGTCCTGTTCTAAGTGGAAACCCGAGTGTTTAGTCTGGAACCGTCCTCGGGACTCCTAAGCGGCCAAAGGGATCAGCCCCAAGGGGGCGCAGAACAGAGAAATGGTAACAGACATAAAAAAACACGAGGAACTAATTATTTAATTTCTTAGCCTCTAATAAGTTTTCTGTCTGAATTTTTCAAATCTATGGAAACATTTTGTGGAATGCACTAACTTGGGCAGAAGGAATGCCGTGAATCCAAAAAGCTGCCCTTCCTACTGGAGATTCCTTTTATCCTTAAACCTTCCAACTGCTCTCATTTTTCTTTTCACAGATACACTCTTCCAGCTAAAGGTGAGTGCTATGAAAAGTGCTTCCCTTTGGGCTTAAGAATCAAAATTCTTGTAGCAAAATGAACCGACAATTAACCCTTTTCACAATAAACTCTCTGATTTGGAAACACTCTTCTCCTTGGACAGTGAATGTCTGTTTTTGTAGCAGAACAATTCCTAGTCCAGTTTTGTCAAGAAATCCAGGAATGGCTGCTCCTCTGATGCCACTTGGAGCTGAGGCAGGTTTAGCTGAGATAGTAAATGGCCTCCACTCTATCCATCACTCCTTCAATACATATCCCTCCATCTCTGACTTTTAAAACTTGGTTGTCCTTCTGTGGGACTGTGATCTTCCTCTACTCTATCCAGAGGAAGCAAGGACCGGGGTGGGTGCCTGCTCTTGCCTACAGGCCTGTTGAACATCTGCCTCTCTCTAGTTTACAGCCAAGCAGCTGGAGAAGCTTGCCAAGAAGGCAGAAAAGGACTCCAAAACAGAACAAGCCAAAGTCAAGAAGGTGAGGGGCCTGAATGCCAAGGCTAGGAGTAATGGGCGGGGATAACTCTTGAGAAATGAGTCGGGAAGGCTGGGCTTCCACCCCTGCCGCCTTCAAGCCTTTGGTCTGCCCCTCTTTTGTTACCCACCGAGCTTCCAATCTTGTGAGTCCTTGGCATTAAAGGCTGTCTGCAGGCCTTTCCTCTCTCTCTCTCCTTAGCTTGAGCCTTTCTGCCCTTCTGGTCCCGCCCTGCATCCCCCATGCCTTTCTCAGCTGGGGGAGCTTTCCTCTTTCTTCCCCTTCCACCCCCCACTTCTCTTCCTCACTTGTGAAGCAGAAGAACTTCTGGAATGTCCTCCCTTCAGTCTGCATCACAAAGCCTCTTGGGATCTGATCCCTTTCCTTCCATTCTTGATTTTGTTTGGAGCAACTGTGATGCTGAGGGAAGCTCCTCGTCTTGACTTCCAGGCCCTTCAGCAGAAGAATGTGGAATGTGCTCGGGTTTACGCAGAGAACGCCATCCGGAAGAAGAACGAAGGTTTGAACTGGCTGCGCATGGCTTCCCGTGTAGATGCTGTGGCCTCCAAGGTCCAGACAGCTGTGACCATGAAGGGAGTAAGGAACTTTATTTCAATACTACGTGACCTTCCTTGCTCCCTTTGAACAGGTTGAAGTTGTCTCTCTCTGGGGCTGCAAAAGGTCATCTACGCTAAACTGGCGCTTTCTAGGTCCCGACAGTTTCCGTCATTCCCAGCCAACTAAACTACTTGCGGGGTGGGGGTGGGTGGGGGGGTGATACTATGTTGATATGTAGAAATTACCCACTGGATATTTCCTATTAGGCCACTTGGCTTCCTCTTGCTCCCTCCACCCTTTGCCACTCAGCCTTTATCCACCGGCAGCTCACGAGATTCCAGCATCCCAGATTCAGCCTGAACTTGGCTTGGAGGCCTCGAGTCTCTTCCTGCCTCAGGGCTTCCTCGACTAAAAGAGGGCAAAACCGCGTGGATAGGACGCCTTGAGAAATCCGCACTGACTGGCCACCGCACGCTTTTCTGCTGGCCTTGATCTGGGCTGCTGGTTCCAGCGCCAGATGGGAAGCCCCCTCTTCAGGATTGGCCCTGGCTTGGTGTGGTTCCTCCAAGTGACTACGACTCCTGACTATTGCAGGTAACCAAGAATATGGCCCAGGTGACCAAGGCCTTGGACAAAGCGCTCGGCTCCATGGATCTTCAGAAGGTTTCGGCTGTGATGGACAAGTTTGAACAGCAGGTCCAGAATTTGGATGTCCACACTTCAGTAAGTGCTGCAGGGATGCTGAGCTTTCACAGTCTCCTTCCTACTCCCGTTCTTCTCTAGCCTCTGCTGCCTTCTCTGCACGCTTGTGAAAGTGTTTGGGTATCTGGGGGAATTCCCCATTTAGTCTACTCCAAATCAAACAGATTATGATCAGGCAGGCTTTGAAACGGGGCCAAAAGGAGTCCAGCACTGAATCTGCCGGCTCAAGCTTTGCTTTGTCACGGCCAGCCCCTGTCGCATTTCAGGTCAGTGGATCACGCAGCTCCGTATTCTGCCTTGTGCCAGACGTTGAGCAAGGAGAGGCCCCCTCATTTTCCATTCCCAGGTTGCTTGAGCAAAGTGGCTGGAGACGACCACGCTTGATTTCTTAGAGAGAAGCTGAAGGGAGATGGTGGGGTGGCGGTTGAGCTTAGTACGAGGTCGGGTGTCCCTCGCAAGAGGCGGGTGAATGGCTGGACTCCCTGGGATGCGGTTTGTTCAGGGTGTCTGTCTGTCTGTCTGTCGTCCCCACCTTGGCTGCTGCTGCTGCTGCTGCTGCTGCTTGCCTGTGTCACAACGCTTCTGCCTGGGGTCCCTGCAGGTGATGGAGGACTCCATGAGCTCAGCCACCACTTTGACGACGCCCCAGGAGCAAGTGGACAGTCTGATCATGCAGATTGCGGAGGAGAACGGCCTGGAGGTCATGGACCAGCTGAGCCAGCTGCCCGAAGGGGCCTCGGCCATGGGAGAGAGCTCGATGCGTTCGCAGGAGGATCAGCTGTCACGGAGGTTGGTCTGCTTCCCTCGGTCTGCCCACAGGGCTGCCCTCTGGCCAGAAGCTCTCGTCAGCCGGTCAATCTAGAGCCAGCCCGCTGGGCAGGTGGAGCCTTCCAGAAGGGAGGTGGCTTAACGTGCGCAGGCCACATTGCACGAAAGAATCGCACTGAGGAAGGAAAGCTGGGCTGCTGGGGGCTCCTGCCTCCCCCCCTCCCCGCCAGGTCTGTTGCTGCTCTGGGGCTGTGTTGTCAGCTTCCCTGCTTCTTGCCAGGGTTCATCCTGCCTCGCTCAGTGACGCCAGTCGTGGGCTGACTAGAAAAAGTGCTTTGGGAACCGGTCCATTAGGGTTTGCGTTAGATGTGAGCCCGGCCATTGTGACTTGGCCGGGAAACCAGAGTTGAAAGAAATCCTGGCTGAGCGTTACGCACATCCGCAGCCTGAATTTGAGTTCCTCCTTAATTAGCTGAAGTTACATTGTGTGTTCACAAGAGGGAGGCAGATCAGAAGTGCTGGGAACCTTTATGAGGAGAAAAAGCTGAAAGTTGAAAGGGAAGAAGAGCTCAAAGCCACGGGAGGCTGGCTGGCTCTCTCTGTGTGTGTGGATACAATTCGACATTTAGAAATGCCATAGCTGGAAAATCTGGCAGGGCTGAGACCTGAATAGCTCGGCTGAGGTGTGATTTCCCTGCATTAACGTTCTTCCTCTCGCAATTTCAGGTTGGCTGCCTTGCGGAATTAATCCTCCCGCCCCCTCGCAGACGGTTGCTCCTGCCTTGTTCCCCTGTGATTTGTGGGGTTTCTGCCTGGAGCCCTGTGGCCTTCCAGCCCTCTGGCCATTCTCTTCAAGGGGCAGGGAGAAGACAGCCCTGTCCACCTCTGCAGGCCTGCCCTGCCCGGCGTGGACCTCCTCCTCCTCCTCCTCCTCCAGCAATGCATAGCTCCTGCCTAAGAAGCTGTGGTGACCGCAAGACTCTGTGTGGGCGTGCCTGGTCCTTGGCCAAGGGCTCTCCTGCAGTGGATGCCCCGCCTCCCCCAAGAGCTTCTCCTCCCAGCCTGCGCTTCCCCCCCTCCCCCTCCCCCGGCCTGAGGAGAGGACCCCGAGCATGCGGCGCTTGCCTCTTGGAAGCAGGGCCCTTGGGGGAGTGAGGGCTCCCAAGAGGGCCAGGAACAAGCCTGGGGCTGCAGGCCTAGATTCCGGCCTGCTGGCGGCTCCTCCTGATGCCGGTTCCTGCCCTGTTCCCTCTTCCTTGTTCCGTGTACGTGGGGAGACGCTGCCACCTGGAAGTTGGGGAGACGCTGCCAGGAAGACGGAGGGGCCCCCTTTTTCTGGCAGCTCCGGGACCTGCCTTGGATTCACAGACCACAAAGTGACCTTTGAGAAAAGTGGCCCTGCTGGCCCTCGGCCTTCATGCGTGTGCCTCGCCCTCCCCTCCTGGGTCTGGAGTTGTCCTTTCCTCCCAACCGCCCCGCTTCAGGAGAGGACCCCCCCTGGGCAGAGAGGGGCCTTTTGCCTGCCTGGTGTTTGAGCCCCCCCCCCC